TATTCGCGATACATATCCTTTAACTTCTGTGTACATTTTCGGATTGATTTCAAATTTAATCAACGTGACCGTGACAAATAGCCGTCTCTCGTTATAATGTTAATGAAATTTCAAAATGTTTGATAAAACACGTAATACGGGAATAGAAGGTTTCTACGAGTGTTCGAATGCTTCGACGCGCCACTGTACGAGGGCCAACGATCTGATCGACGCCTGAGCAATGAAAACCGAACGAGCAAAGTGGCTGCAACGAGCGGGCAGAGTTGGGCGCTAACTTTCGATTGGATTTGAAAGCCGGCCAAGTTGAAACCGACTTTCCAAATTCAAGCGGAAAATGTTCGCCAAACAAGGAGATACGCGAACGAATTCGCGGCGGGATTTATCGAGGGCCATTTAAAATATCACAATCCGCGTAAACGGGAAGAAATCGGCTTTTAAAACAGCGAGATTTCGTTTTTAAGAGGGATTTACTTTGGCCAAAAGGACCAAATGCTTTCTCCGGGGGTGAGTGTTTTCTTAGAGATACCAGGCCGCAAGCTAAATCGGAGATAATTACGTGGCCGTGCAAACTTTGAGCATAATCGTAACGCTTCATTCTCGCCTAACTTCGCGTGCGTTTATCTGGAATATAATAGCCAGAGACCGGAAGGGATTCGAGCTCACCCCACGAACATTTCTTCGAACGTTTTCGTTTGCTGATTAATGGAGTAACCGGAGCGAAAAATGAGATTTCGCGTCGACAAAAATTCGCGTTGTTTCCGATACGAGCCAAAAAAAAAAAAAAAAAGATAAAGATATTCCTTTGAATGCCGTTGATGCCGCATAATGGGAAAGCAATGTACGCTGTGTTGTTGTACGTGTCACGTCCACTCGCCGGGCAACCAATTCAAGGGAAAGTCCATTATATTTTTTCCTCCCATTCGCTCGCTACGAGCCGACATCCCCATCGTTATTTTCAAGCTGAAGTATTTGTTAAACCGTCGCGTGAACTCGTCAGTTTCATCGTGTTTTTGTTAAGGTTTGACGGATTGATTCGCGTCAACTATCGATCGATAAGGAAAGATATAACGCAACAATGTAGAGATTGGAGCAAGCTGTAAAATATCTTACCACGATTAGGATATGAATGTCATAATTTAAATGTTATCACATGCCATGAAATTAATATAATATATCGTTAATATAATATAACAAGTTAATACGAACGATATAATATATTAATATGATAAAAGGACAATTTTAAAGTCCGGTATCATATGAAAACTCTCAATCAATGTTATATCTAAATTCTGCGTCGTCTCATCGTATTCTTAAAGCGTTAAAGATCACGTACATCGCATTATCTTTTAAATTTGCCTGCATAAAGTTATTGTAACTTGGTTCTATTGTTGAAGCTCGTGAAGAAAAATGAGCCCAAAGTCAGGAGACAGGTTGGATCGAGATCAGCAGCAACTGGAGCGTGAGAATTCCGTTTTCCACGCTCGAGAACGTGGCTTGGTTTTCTAGCGGGCCGAACACGTTTTATTTATTCACCGAGCGCTGTCAAAATTAGCATCGTGCGCTACCAAATTATCGACGGAGGATCGATTTCCGAACGCGTCAGGGACACTTCTCGACCGAGCCAGGTGTGTTCACTGACCTAAACCCTGACGATCCCTTGAAAATTGTACGGAACGAAGCTGGTGAACGCGAAGCGACCGGTAAACGCATGCATCTAGATAGTGGCACGTAATATACTCACGTCCTGGGCAGACAGAATCCTCGTGGCAGACTGAATGGTCGTGCTTCCCGAGTGGGGTCGATGATGCAAGGATTCGGCGGTATTGTCTCGAGAGTACACACTCCTATACCAGGGCAATCCACTTGAGCTGTCTCGTCTGTTTCGATATTTCCTCCACACGTGCCTGTGAAACAGAACAAAACCTCGTCCTTCTCTCAGAATACTCGTTCCCTATTCGTCAGGCTCAACTATGCTTATTCGTGTTTCCTTCATTAAGAGGCAAAACTTTGAATGTGACTACCAGTTCCACTTTCACACGCTTTGAAAACTGACAGAGATCTTTCCATTTTCTGGAGAACATTGCCATTTGGTTAGTAGATACGGTCCTCAAACTAAATTTAACTTTTAGTTTGCGATTATTAGACTGTAGATGTTTATGCATTTAAACGAGCGCGGAATACATATAATACGAAAAACGTAGGAAAAATAGAAAGTGTATTACTCGTCGCGATAATTACTTGGTGAAAAGAAATCGCTGTTTCATTTTGTTTCTTCAATTTTGCTCGTAAAATTATAAAGTATAAAAACCTGCAGTCTAGTAATTAGTACTTGGAATAGGAATTTGGAAGCCATACCGTATTCATGGCGCTTCAGAAGTACAAGAAACGTACGTTTGAACTTTTATGTTGCAGAAAAAGAACAAAAATATGTACAACTTTCCATAATAGAGTTGATTCAATTTATATGCGAGCGTTTCTATTTACACGCTCGCTACTATATGAAATGTTTTTTGTTCGAAGTTTAAATCTGTCAGGTTAATATCACGCATTAAATTTTAACCATGTCAAAGAAAAAATCTTTTATAAATAACGCGTACCTTTAAATTTATGATGAAAGTTTCAATCTTAATTACTGGATAGTGAATCTTCACGAATAATATTCGTCTGAATTTCTTATAATATGAATTTAAATTCGGAAAAATTATCATTAAAGTCTCATGGAAATGTAAATTTAGCGTGAAGAATTGAAAATATCTCCTATTCCATGAAAAACAATTTATTAATGTACGAGCACGAACTACTTTAAAAGATATTGCTACGCTAAGAGATTGTAATACCTTCATTTCAGGAAATTCCAAATTATTTAGTCATTTCATAGATTTATAAAAACAATTTTATGTATATAAAGCGTCAGGGACCTTACTTTTGCTCAACCAGACAATAATTTAAATTGATATGTATTGAAGAGGGAATTGATTCCTGTAATTCAATGTATTTAATGGAATTTCTCGAGCTCAATGTTGTCATTTTATTTCAGATAAAGCAGAGCACATTTTTTCATAAAATAGAGAATAAACTAAAAAAAAAAAAAAATACAATCGCCAGTCAGTAATTGAATTCCCGGTAAAACATCAACTAAAATCAAAGTGTAAATCCAAAAAACAATATACTAAAAACAGCTTCGAGTGCAAAGGGTTGCGGTCAAATATTTTTAAAAGGGCATTGTTTCGACCACATTAAATTAAAATAAATTTTTAAAAAAATCAGAATCACGCAAAAATCAATTGTCTAATATTTGCGAAAGGTTCAGTTAAAAAAAAGAAACGAAACGATCAGAGAATTTTCGAGTAGCAATGGACGTATCTTCGCGAATAACGTATGAACTACGTGGTGCAACGAAAAAGTTACAATACTTGGCAATGAAACAGCCCTTTCGAACAGTTCGTCGACTTTCGATGAATCAATGATAAACATTGATTTTAATTAGTAATCATTTTCTCGCGTTTGAACCGCATTCGTACGTTTTAGTCCCTCTGGTTTATTTGCATAGAACGTAATGGCAATTATTTCGACAGGAAATCTCGGAATCGTGCCATTATAGTATAATACAATTTCCATTGAAACAAGACCTGGTTGCACGAGCTTCGAAAATAATTTGAATACATCTACGAGCAGTTGAACAACTGTCGAATAAATTGTTCTCGTTCTACTGAATAGACCGGGCATAATCCTCCGCTCGTGGTCGTAATTTCAGCAATAACGCAGGATTATTGTTTCCTCCCTTGGCTACGACAAAAATTTGCGAGTTCCTGCACCCAGACAGATCCGTGAAATCGGTTTTTATTGCAAGGATGGCGTTAACACAGTCACGACGTAGGCCGGAGTTAATTTTTCGGGATCAAGAGATCCGGTGAAACTAGCGCTATTCTATTCGCGTATAGTCTACGCGACGATTCCACCGAGAGCGGAGTAAAATATTATCAGCTAAAACGCTGAAAGTCCACGTTGACAATACAATCTCTTACGCGGAGTATTTTAAAAAGTTGGGACCAAGCTCGAGGAACGTATCTTTTCGCGGTTTATGTTACCTCGATGGAAACGATAGCCTTCGTTGACTTTGCCCGAACGCTGTCGCCGACGCATTGTAAATGGGGTGCAAGAATCGCGTGGGCTTAGATGTCGATACATCGTAAGGGATTAGAGATTACGTGGCAGCCAAGGCGACAATCGATCAGCCCGTGAATTTCCTACGGAGGTAGGTGTGATAGTAGCAATGGTTCGACAGTGATCGAGTCGCGTGTGACGCGCACATCGGCTTTGTCTTTAATTGCCCCATTAATCAACGTCGAGGCTTTCGCTTTCGCGGTATAGCCACGAGCAGAGTCGTCTTGTTCGCAGTTATAACGCGACTGACGCTGTACCGTTAACTTATTCGCTGACTTAACGGTTTTTCTGTGCTGCTCTTTGTGCGGTTAGATGCGGATCTCGCCTCTGTCCCTTAACGCGATTTCGCGTGCACGCGATGCTACGAGCCGACTGCGTTACGAATTTAGAGACGAAGAAATTGCACAAAGCGTATTGTTGCGCAGGTGTCCGCCTTTTCAAAATTGGAACGTACGAAAGAATATTTAAATATAGAGAGCGTGTTTCATCTGTCCTCGTGACAGAGCGTACTCAATTAAGATAATCTTCGGTGCTTTTAAAACTATTCCACCGATGAATAAAATGCAACACTGTAACGTATCGAAAATTCTCACCTTTCTCTCCTTTCAAGAGTACACGAGTACAGCTGTTTGCGCGATATAAAATCTCCGACGATAAGATAGGAAAGTATGGTTAAAGGAACGGGGCAAAAGTTTGCCGCACTTTCCTAAGCATACGTTGCGAGACAACCATGTTTCTCTTACCTGACGCCGAAGGCGATTCCCAGCGCGACGATCAACGGCAGCAACGTCGAAATACACGCTAGAAAAACTGTCTGTATATCTGAAAAGCCAGCGAGTATACCTGGAAAAATTATATTCGTTAGGATAGTACGTGAAATCATGGTGTTTTAATCGGTCGTAAAAATTAAGTAATTCGATTTAACCGATACGCCGGGTATTCGTATCGTACATTTCGGTCATGGCCACTGCGACTTCGCCAATTAAAATATACGAAGCATACGAAACGAGAGAAATGGACGGATGTACGAGTTTCCTAATAGTGCGCGTAGCGCGTATATTCCCCTAATTACGACGGAGAATGTCCCGAGAGAGCTACAAGATGACGTCTATGTAATCTAATCGATGAGTAAGTTTGCCCGCCGTTCTAACTGATTAGCTTTTCCATTAAAATTCATCAAAGTAAAATGAACTTTAAGGTTACAACCTTAATTCCTAATCTATTCACCAACCTAACCCAAACTGCAACGTCAACGATGCATCCCAGAGAGATAAGCCTATCGTCCATCTCGCTTCCATTGACCCTAAAAGTTATGATAAGCGGACAGCGTCGAAACTGCTACATACAATGAGCGAGCGTTCGGCGAGAAGATCATCACGGAGGATCGTCGAACACGAGAAATGGATGAATTGCTATTTTCGAAAGCTGGCGTCGCTCTACAGAAAGTCACCGTGTCTGTGGAAGAAAGACACGCGGGGTTATTTGGACAGCGAGTACAGACATCGTGCTTATAGTCGCATTCATCGAGCCATGGAATTGCCGGGGGTGACTTTCGTCGAGATAGTCTTGAAGATTCGCGAGATGCGCCGCCTCTACGTGAACGAACTAAAAAGGTTGCTGGGGGCCAAGTCGTACGGCCATTGTTACGAGATCTCGCTACCATGGTTCTACAATTTACATCAATTTCTCTACCCGTACCTGGATTACGACGAGGCAGTCGAGTTGCATGTTCGTATCGATGAACTCGTTACCCCATTAGCATGAACGGTGGCTGGACGGTTTTACCAATAACTTTGATGTAGTTTCTTGTTACGGGGCTCCGCATCCAGACGTATGCCGTGTAACGTTTTTAATCCTCCGATTACAATGGCGCGGTCGATAGATAGAGCCGATGCATCCACTGGTTCTAACGGAAAGTTCCGATAAGCCGAGATGGATTACGTTCAGACGAATAAATTAAGTTGTATTCTATCGAAGCGTTGTGCATGAAGAATATTAATGTCTCGCGATCTGTGTACTCGATTGTACTCGCCTGTAGTAGAAAAATTTATTGCAAAATACTAATCTTTAAACATTTTGATAATTTGCTAGTAATCTTTCGCGACCAACAGGAGTGTACGTGTACGAATTTAACGAAAGTCTCGGGTAATATCGTCCAACAGACTCTCGTAGAAAAATGTCGACGGGCGCGGAGAATAAGAGAATTTTTTAAAGTAAAATACGACCTCTGAAATGGCTATATACGAGGATTCTTGTCGCGGAGCCTCGTGCACAAGTGCAAGATATAAGTCGACGGTTATAAATATTTAGAGATAGTTTTCCTATTCCGTGCAATATTTGCGCTATTATTTTCCCCCGATGAAACGATTCGTCGTCGGATTTCCACAGAACGTAGACGAAACTTTTGCCAAGAATGAGAACTGCAGTTGCTTCCGATGCCTGATATCGAGTAGAAATACTCGTATTCGACATTTCTTACCGTCTAGCACACAACGAACTATCCCTACTCTGAATTCGATTAGTTCCCCTGCCGTCTCTTTGCCAGAGGTCAAGACTCGCCCTCGAACTTGCCCTCGCTCCTGCAGCCGAATTTCCTATACTAAAAAACAACTGGACAGATTTCCTTCCCGCGCAATCTGCACAACGATCAGTAGATGCACTTCCTGCTGCGAGAACTTGGAACATCATGGAGATATGGCTGAGAACGAATTAAGGGACACGCGAGAGGTTGATCGATAATAAAAAGTGAATTTATTTAGATAAGAAACAGGTCGTAGAAGTTTATGCAAGTTCATATTTTGAGGTAAATACAATCAAGAAAAAATGTATGCGAACAAACGTTTGTTTTATTCGCCAAATATTATGAAAGGTATCGAGGATGTACCATGGATATTTATATGTAAATATTTTAGATATAAATCGAATTTTTAGAAAATGTACTCTGAGAGGCAGATTTTAACATTTAATATTTAAACGGCGAAACAAACAATTTTTTAATTCTATTTCTTTTTTTCTATCTGATAAAAATATAAATTTGCATAAACGTCTACAGTGTAGCGGTATGTTTAAAAATGCAATTTGACTAAGAAGCGGAAGAGTCTCGAGCGAATCGCTGAAAAATTTAAAGAACAGCAAGAATTCAAAGAGAGAGATAGAGGGAGACAGAGAAGGAGAATGCTGAAAATTATCATTTTTGTTTTATTTCTATTTATTATTAAATATTATTCTGTTTATCTTGTTTTATATTTAACGAATAAACACACCTGCCTGCAATCCAACATTTCCACAGAAATAAGAAATTAATCCTTCTACTTACAATTTAATGCGCAGAGATCTGAATTGATTGCTAGTGTAATGAAAATTAAACTAATTATCTTATCGACTTGCGTTACTCATAAAAAGCAAGGTTTAATTGCTCTCGAAGTTCTACACAAATACAGAAAACTCGTTATTGAAATAGGTAAAGTGTCACGAATTTACAATCTGCGGATTACATAGCACAGCATCGAGTGACGATACTTGCGACACTGACTCGGATCAGTTGGAAACTTTCTCGATGACTGTGACACGTTGTCTCAGGAAGTTGGATAAACCGTATGCGCTTAAAGCGCAAGCAGAAATTCAACAAATCTTGGAGAATATGCTGATAAAATCAAAGGTAATCAAATCATCGGCTATAGAAACTGGAAGTAATTAAAAACTCTCTCGTTTTACAGAACAATTCCCCGAAAAGGACTCGTTTACGCGAATCGTCCTACGATTTGTGATAAAACGTATTCCAAGATCCAAAGCAAGGTAAATTTACAACTTAAACATCTGAAGAGCTATCGAGTTAAAAATACCTGGCACATTGTTTCAGATCCAGCACGGAACGTATTGAAGAAATCCAACTTTCGATCGCCACCTCCCTCCGTTCATGCATAGCAGGTAACTCTCATAAATATTACAAAAAATCCTGGTGGCATGAGTAGCTCGCGGAGAGCATGAATATCTAACGACAAAAAGCTTCAATCGGAGACTGAATTTCGTCGTATATCATGATTCTAGCGCGCGGATGGTATCGATCCGACTTTGGTAGACCGCAGCGTTATGATTAGTATTCAGCGAGTGTCGCAGTCGGCCGGTCGGACAAGGACGAAGATGGCAAGATTTGCTCTGGCAAAACGGAGGATGCGTGCCACACAGCCTGTCCCTGATAACAGGTTATCCTTTGATCGAACCCCCTCTCGCAAAAAGTTCACGTTCCTGCCGTTATTGCTACTAAACCGAAACGCGATCAGACGAAGTCGCGTTAATCCTCAAAGCGAATCATCGATTAAGGGATTATCAAAGGTTGTATCGAATCTCATTCACCGTCGACAAAGAATCGACGCGTTGGCTTGGCTTCGAGATCGATTACTCGATGAAAAGAGTTCCGTTCGGAATCTTCAAGTTTTATAACGCGACCTCAAAAAAATCGACGTACTTCCAACAACTCGAGCCTTCGACTTTACAAGTGGAAATTCTCGCCAGCAATTCGCAGCAATTTTTCATGAAAAAACAAGTTGGTGAGCGGCATGGTAATAAATCCAGAGGGCTAGCAGGATTAAGCTTCGCTGGAAACTATTTTGCGCACCGTGAGGCAAAAGGAACACTGGAAAACCCGGAGGTCTGTGGATAGTCTAACGAGCAGTCGAGAGGACCTAGAACGAACGGCCAACATTTAGTCCAATTCTCAAAATCCCCTTGATACCCGATGAAACAGGATTCGAGTGTGCTTGGTCGAAAGACCTCCCAACGCAATGACTGAACGACTCGCGACTACCTGCCCTGTCTCTCGGCGCGTTTCGAATGAAATAATTGTCGGAACAGTTGAACACTCTCGGCGACATTTAACGCGGAACATGTCTAATTCATTTGAAACTGTGGTACGCCGCTAACAAATGTCGAGATCGTTTGCAAAGCGCACCTGGTTGCGCTAAACGAAGACTGATCGAACTTCGCGAATCCTGTTAACACGTGGCTTTTCGTGATCTAGCAGGTGCAACACGAAATACGATTTTTATCATGGAAGGGACATCAAAGTAAATTCCATCGTTCGCCAAGCGGAAAGGACGAGCAAGGAAAAGGGGTAAGAGAGAGAGAGAGAGAGAGAGAGAGGCAAAGGCGGACAAGGTTAACGGCGCAAGGAGAAATAGTCGAGGCGATTGGTAAGTGGCGTTTCCGGCCGAGAGCGGCGTAATGCAGTCCCATTAGGTTCGGCTTTGACCGGTATAACGCGCATTAACCGTATTCACAGGCTCTTATTACTTACTGTGATCGAGCTCGTCGTGTTCCATGAGGTAGCCGGTCGCGTTGTAGATGTGATGGTCGGGTTTAGCGGTACTGGTGACCGCAGCTCCACCCGTTACTGTCGTGGACGGATTAGTCGGAATTGCTGTGCTAGCGCTAATCGCGGCTGCGACCACGCTAGGTGGCGACGAGGATATCGTTGATACGAGATTCATCGTGCCCGTCGAGGTCTCAACCTCCGTCGCGTTCAGTTCACTCGTCATTGTTCTACCGTGAATGTCCAACCCTATGCTCGCATATCGCTTCTCTCGAAAATTTACGAGTCGAGTATAACCGCAACGCAGTTATTATTCCAAGGCTTACCGAACGGCGCTAACACGAGGTCATCGGTACGATCGATCGGTCGAGACGGTCTGTCGTCCGATGGACGCGATCCAGCGTCCAATTTGCAATTACTATTCAATTTAGATTTAAGCTACGCTGATTAGATCGGTTCGCCGCACGACAACCTCTTCGAGTTCAGGGATGCAAACGAACTCAGACCGAGTCGACGGACCTGAAATCGAGTTTCTTGCCACGCGAATCCGGACTTCCGTGCTTTGCATCTCTTCCACCGGTTGATAGGCGAAACCGAAATACGCGATCCGAACACAATTATAGCTCGACCAGTGTCATTCAGCCTGAACTCCTTCAAGACTACCAGCTAATTGGATTCACCGACGTTCTACCAACCAACTAACCAACGATCGTTCACACCTCGGTACACGTACAAACAACTTGAATTAACAAGCTTCTACGATACGATCTACCAATTTCTACGGTACACCGATAACGTATGGAATGTCCCTGTTCGTTCAGATCTATCAGGACAACGATCGTAAATAGTTATTGTACGAGAACGAAGGAAACCTTCGCAATTTTTAGCCGACCTGTCGGTGATTTCTCACCCCTGACTGGCTTTCGCGAGTGGATTAAAGCCGACCAAAGGAAGAAATCCTGCCAACGGGAATGAGAAACTTATTTGCTCCTTGTCTATGTTTCCCTCTATGTTTCTCTCTTCGTGAAGTCAGCAGACGATCGTTCCACGGTTCAATTTCACCGGTGTAGAAGACGATTTTGTTGGTATTTGTTAGCAGCCAACCGAGTGTCGCTCATTCTCGCGCTGCTTTCCTCCCGAGAGAACCGGCTTCTGAAACAGAAAAAAGGAAGTCCTTGTAGTGGATTGCCCGTGTAATTTCATTTCCTGCGGGGGAATTCATCGACCGTTGTAAGATTACTCTCGTAGCAGTTAGGGGGAGGGGCGTTAAAGGGCGCGTTTCGAAGGAACCGTACAATCCGTCGCGCGATTCCCGAGACCGTCTCGACTTACGGTTTACGGTTTACGCGCCTCCGTCGCGGCGACTTGCTCGGTCATTACCGTCGTTAAATGCGCCATGCTCGAGAGAAATCTTTTTCAAGGTCATTTCACGTCGGTTCATCATCTCTAGTGTTTCTGTGTCGCCTCCATCCTCCTTTTATCGTCCATAAAGTACCATCGAGACACCGTTTCTAGCTGCTCTGCGTCATTACCAACGCCATTACCATGCTTTTTTCTTTGCAACAGTCGTTGCATTATGTAACGATAACTATGAAAATCGCATGGGCGCTGTGTGATAAGCCTGTGTATAGTTGAAAGAGGAAATAAACTCTTAGATTTAAAATTACAAGACTTTTAAAAGGAAACAATAGATCGAGCAAGTTTGAAAAAAAATGTTTAATCTTAAGATCAAGTAGAACGTGAATTTCGTTTAAATGGGATCGATTCAGTGTTCCAAATTATAAAATTCCTTTCCTGTTAAGAGCGAAATGTATAACTTATGTTTTCCCCGTGTACTCTTCGTATCGAATAAATTCCATGAATGAAATTTTGTAATACATATGAAACACACGACTGTCATATTCCACTCCCACGCCAGCTTCTGAACCCCGTCGATAAATTCCGAAGCTTCCGGCACTCTTCATCTCGGCCCACTTCTATTCACCCTCCCAAATCTGTCTTTGTCCTCGTGACCATATCTCTCAGCTTCCCCTAGGCTTCTTTTCCGCTTTCAATTCATCTTATAAGTTCTCTACGTAAGCATCTACGAAATATTTTGAACGAGAGTAATCGTGGTGAATCGTGTGAGGAAGAATCGCGCGAGGAACACACGCAGGACGAGCCTGATTTTCCGCTGACTACGCTGATTAGTAATAAATCAATTTCGAATTCAAAGCAGCTAGGGATAGACGATTTTGAAATATATCGTCCTATAATCACAATAGCTTTTCGCAACGCGAGCATACCCGATAATTAAACTTGGCCGATAGTTAGCGCTGCATTGTTCCGCTAACAGTTTTCCGGGCATGCAGTAATTATTCATAAGCGTAAGTTCGTAATGAACGTATGCACGCGCGTTCTCGGCCAAGCTTGAATTTCGGTCACCGTAACCAACTTCGGTGACCCTCTGTTTTCTAATTTTCAACAAACCTTCGTTTTCCCACCGTTCTCATTTCGTGAACGTTTCGCGCAATTTTCACCAAATTTTCACTAAAATCACCGACCGTTTCCGGAACCGTGAAAAAAAAGCGCAGTTGCTACGGAAAATTGGCAGAAATTGGACTTTCTTCGACTAATAGAAGTTGGAGAACGAAAGGAAAACCCTCGACGCACAATTTCATTGGATATTTAATATCGATAATTGGCACTCTATGTCCGTGGCGAAGCATCGTTAACACGAGCCATCGGTAGTTCGAACACGACTTCGCATTAATTGGCACGGCGCATTGAAATTGCAACTGCAGTGCGGTTGCCTCGAGGACACTCCTGCGAGCTTGGAGGCGTCGTCGCAGGATACAACCGCCCGCCAGTTCGGTTGACATCGTATAACGAACTCGAGTTCAAGCTTAACAACGTAACGTAACAAGCAACACAGACGAGATTATTAATCGAATTGAAAAGCGATTCCGTCGACTTTCCAGCAAAGTTACCGTCATACGCGCGTCGCTTTCTTTCTCATCTTTCCGATGAATGGCCGAAACACCGACCACGGCTAATATATCAAACTTCTGGGTATGAACGTTCGTCGATTCAACGAGAACAGGGGAGTAACAGCGATTATGCGACGCCCTGTGTATTTTCGCGACCTCTTTTATCGTCATCCCTCATTTACCTAGACGCGCGGAAACTTCCAAGAATATCCGATGAACGTGACGTCTTCGGCCTGGAAATTATTTTCCAGGTAACAGCTCCTTGTACAAACTATGACCGAGTCAAATTACGTTCAGCTAGAGTACGTTCGTGGAAAGTCTCTAGCGTACTAGCTCATCGAGGAGCGTTAGAGGGTAAAGAGGATTCAACGTGCAAATTTATGGAAGGAAAAACGAAATATTCTCTTTGTCGCGGCGCAGAGGAAACAAAAATTTCCGACGAGCAGCAGTCGCGTAATCAACGGGAACGTTGCCTAGCTTGTCGCAATCAACGGTGAAATCGCGGAACCGCAGAAACGTAGGTGCCCGTGAGCCGAGATTTTAATGAAAATTTACATTCACCGCCGGTGTTCCCGGAATGCCTGTCAGACTCGGTGAGTCGTGCATCTTCCCGAGAAAATCAGCTTAACTCGGTTACCGTGTGGGAAGAAGATGATTCGCGATGTGGTTGCTCGTAAGTGGACCAAGGGTCGAACAGGCGGGCAAACCGCCTTCGAGATTCGTTCTCTCGGTTCGACGAACATCTGGCTGTTATGGCGGTTTAGTAATTCTTATATAACGCGGCTTCCCCAAGATCGCGATGCCGATTTGCATAATCGAACTCGCCCGTTTGGTCTCTCATGCTGCTAACAGCTACGCCAGCTAAACGCAATTTCGGCATCTGCGGCGTTAATAAGAAACTTTCTCGGCATTAATTCCATTAGGTTCGTTTAATCGACGCCATGGCAGCGACTTTCGTGACTGTCTGTTTCAACGGCCCGCGCTGAAATACCGATCGGCTTGGCCTAAGAGGTCTAGGTAAGTAAATACGAATTTCTAAGGGCACCAGAAGTCGTCGACTCGTTATTAGTTCATTACACAGCTAGTTAATTTACTCCGAGTCTATCGACCATTGCGTGGAATAAATTTCGCGAGCTTACCCGCTAGGAAGATGGCGAAACATTTTGGACTTTGATCTTCGATACTGCTCCGAGGCAGGAACACGCTTTATAATTAACTTTTGCCGGAGTTCCTTTTGCATCTCGAGTTTCAGCCGACGCTCGTTAGTGGACGGAGAACGGCACTCGCCTCGATTAACTATTTCCTTGTCTGACACCGATCGGTGAATCTATCATTGAAAAAAATCTTTGGTGTAAAGCGAATTTTATCTGTGAGTTATAGCATGATATGATAATGATAATTTTCGGAAAGAGAAAATTCGATGATTTTATAATTATCGTCTTGGCGATCGATCAAATTGTTGGTACGTTTAATCAGCCGACAAGTTTTTGATCAATCGCCCATCGTGTTACTACACAAGCTACGCGCCAAATAACGAATGATCAATTAAATTACGCGACCTTTGCCAGTTTAATAGCCCTAATTACTAACTTAACGGACTCAATGCGCTCTCCTTGTACAATGAAAATCACGCTTGTACGGTCGAGATGAAAGCTGGCTCTAGTCGATAAATTTCTGGCAAAGCATGCTTATTTAATCGTATGCATTTGTAAAAAGCTCGCGCTCATAGAAACCGATCAACCGATCAAAAGCAAAGCAGAATAATGAATTTCGTTAGGCTATTTGGCATTCTATACAGATTCTGTGCTATAGCATAGTTAATCAATTCTGTAACCTACTTGATAATATTCTATATACTGCACTATTCAATACGCTAAAATAAATAGCCTGTTAAACGAAAAATACAAACTTTTGCCATTTTGTTGGAAAAATAATGAATTCATTTTTTCTACCGATAATACGTATCTCTCTGTAATATGGTTCTTTTCCAAGAAACATATTCATCACGTTTGATTCGAAGAGTATGAAACTTCGAATGCACTTTATTCGAAACATGAAAATCTGAAAAGGCAATGTAACGATCGTTTCTACTGACTGAATAATTCGCTTCGACCGATATTAACCGAAAAGAAAATCGACGACGAACTGGAATCCGAATCCCAGCGGATCGAGAAAGTCACTGGTGAACAAAGGGCGCATCATCTAGCCCAAGCTTCTATCTTGTGGTTGAACTAACCCCTATTCTGTCCAAGTAAATGATGCGGAAACTCTGAAGCCTGCATAAGGACGCGCTCTCCTGAAAATGCACCCGAAAATGAAGGCAATTTACAGCCACGTAATTTGCGAATGTCCGTGGTGCACCTTTATCTAATAATAATGAAACTTTGGCACCGTCTGCTAATAATTGATCCTGCATTTCAATTTAATCTCAACGTGTAGGAACTTAATATACATATAATCTATATGCTATGTATATATAGAATATACAACCCTTCGTGACAAAATTTCTAGCAAAAATTGGTTCGATTATGTTTGTCGCTGTACATAGGCTATCTGTAAGAGTTACGGTAATATAATATCGCGACCCAATAATTTTCCAACTTGAATGAGATAATACGGTAACTTTGGAAGGTTCTGATAATTTTCTAAAATATAGCTATACAAATTTACTTAAATTTCCATACGTATCTTGAGATCTCTGAACGAGGGTGTAGTTTCATAAAAGTCCGATGCTCCCGGTGGGCAAATTTTCAACTTCTTAATATTTAACACACAATTTTCATGGAAACGTCAAACTCGCGAAACTTTCTCACAAAGTTTTCGTTTACTTCTAGTGAACCAAGTCGATCGTATATCTGTTCGCCGACGTGCCTGTTATCAATGATACAATCGCGTTTACGGCACTGGAAAATTCTCCGGAGTAATATTTCGGCAGAATGTTTCGCAACATTGCATCGCCCGTGGCGCAGGATCCTGCCGACATGGTGATTCATGGAAGCGGTTGGTCAAAGGGCAAACGAACTGCTTACCGAACTGAAAATTTATATATTCGAGATACCAGGACTATCATAGGGAGGGACGCCTGAGAAATTTGTTGAACGATCGTCGAGGGTTGACCGGTCCCTCGTTTCGCGTACCATAGAATTTGAAACAAGCATTACTTTCGACCTTGTCCTTTTCTTTTATGAAAAGTAAAAAATCGCCTACGGTAAATGGAAACATAAAAAATTATACTCTCTGTCCCTCGCTTATAATAAAACTTTCGTCGAAATATCTTTATCCTTATCCTTATTCTCAATTCAATCTCTTTCTTCCGTGAAAGCCAAATATCGTTTAAAAAACCACGAAACGATCGAAAATTGTTCTTTGTGTTCCTTACTGGTAATAGAACCTTCCCCAAAGTAACCGTTACTTTTGATTCAGTTTCTCTCTACCATGAAAACCAAAAATCGTTCCAGAGATAACCGAAAAAAACCGAAGATCGTTCTCCTGACTGGTAATAGAACTTCCGATGTGTTGGATCGAGCCGACGTTCCAACTGGCTACGTAAACGAGCCTCGAAAATTCGCGTTCCGCTCGAGCAAGTTAGATCGCTATCGAATTCCGTATAAGCGACGCAACAATGCCGTAATGTTTTCCCATGGAATGGCGATAAACGTTTTATAGACGAATACGTATAGGATAAAAAGACAGAGGGACAAAAAAGATAAAGAGCAGAAGAGAGACGGGGCAGAGAGCAGACGTATCGAATAGCGTTTTTCGCGAGAAAATAAGATTCCCAGGCTTTTCTACAACCTGTGCGAACGTACTGCCTCCATTTCCCTAGCCGATTCTATGTTTCAAGGCGCTGAACGTGTGAAACGCACACGCGCAGATGCGAGAACAACTAGGAAGTTGCCAGTGGCAAGTCGAAACAATTCCAGAGAATATCGATCATGAAATACACCGATAAGATCACAATGGAGTTCCGTTCGAGTAGTTTTCCAAAATTTGTCAACCGTAAATTCTTGGAAAGCGTATTCCGAGGTGGAGATGCACGTTACCAGTTGTCTTTACGATCGCCAGACCCAGCTAGGGGTAGGTGGGTCGAATCCCCAGAATCGGTGCGTAATTTAATTAAATCGCTTATCGTCGGACATTCCACGGTCTGGTCGTTGTACAATTAAACATGGTCTAACGAACATCGAGCGTAGAAGGGATGCAAGGTCGACCCTTTTGGCGAATCTACGCTGGCCTAACTTTCTGCTCGATAAGATCCTTCGATCGCTCGTTCGACTTTGAAAGACCAGCAAGAATAGGCTTGGCTACACTAGAGAATGCCAGTTCTTCGTGTACACGTTATTTTTACCTTGTGTAATAGTAAACTGAGATTCTCGAAAAGCAAATTGATCAACTCCACTTTTTATTGGTTTCTTAATTTTGTTACACAAGTACCCTATTATATTATGTAATTAATTAACCTATATTATGCAGAATGACGGTGCACGTCGATATCGCTAAGCTCTTTCGATAAGTTGATTAACGAAAACCCTGGGAGAAAGCTTGTCGAAAGTAGCGGCTGATCCGCGAACGTATCTCAAGCAATCAGGCTATCCACGCTAAACAAATTTTGTTGCAGACAAAAACTAATTACGAAAATCTAATAAGATCAAGTGGTATATCGAATTATGGTTGTCAGGAGGAAATCAAGCCTAATTACTTGAATTCCCTGTAACAGAGCCAAAGATAGCGAATATCTGATCAGGAACATTCTACACAATTTAATCTAATATTATTAATGAGATTTTACAAGTCAACGAATATTATACGGACTATACTATTACGAATGGAATTTTACAATTCTCTTTCACGATAGATATAAATGATGAATTATCGTGCAGAAATTAATTTCGACGAATTTCGCGTTATACATCGGATCATGTAACAAGTACGTTCTAATCTTAGAAATTTCGCTTCGTAAATTAATTAAAAGCCGTAAAATAATTCAAGGTTCGTGGTTTAAAATAACCCTCGCATTGCCATTTCGATCTCATAGAAATGCCTAGGAGGAACACTTAGGAATTCGAAGAGAAATTCCTGCTAACATTCCCAAGCATGGTACACCTTTAAGAAGACCTCGTCGCCTAATAGAATGAAAGACAGCGCACTTTGTGCTTGACGAACGTTTCCGTGGTAACTTACGATTCGATTGGAGGAGGGGAATAGACTTTCCGGTTCCGATTCTGAAAATGACGAGTTGCACGTGCTTCGTGCACCGGTGGAATCTTTCTGTTGGGAAATTCGCCAAGGTTCGTTAGCTCACTCAATTTCAACGAAGACCTTTTGAAAAGCGTAACCGTGGTAGTAGTCGCTTGTTACAATAGTCGCGTTCGATATCGCTCATCGTCGATTGTTGTACGGACATGGAATCGAAGGCGATGCCTGCCTTTCTCTAGTTTCATAACGCCTACAACGGTTAAAGAATAGCTGGCCTGTCTTCGATGCAACGAACGAAGAGACAAAAAGGGAAAAACATTTACAACGTGCAAGGAAAAGCAAGTATCGAGATAAGGAGAAACGTCTCTGGAGAGACTGTTTTCACCGCTATCTTAGAGATGGTGGCGCTAATAGAATTCTAGAAGCTGTTAGAGGCCCATTCAGCTGGTTGATGGCCTCCCATTGAATCGTAACTTCTTTAAAAACCCAGTAACGCGGTCTTGCTCCTTCCAGCGGAGTTAAGGATCTCTTAAGACGTTTCGCGAAAGCAAAGGCGCACGGTTTTATACGTGGAATCAAAGCGATCGAATTAATTTACGCGCCAGCATAATAACTAAATAATTAGCTCAGTGTCCCTATCCAAGAAACGCGACGAACAACGACAACTCGAGCTTCAAAGCGAACGCCGCGTCGTGAAACAGAGCGTTTGACACAAGCTGTTAACACGTGTACGGCTTGCCAGACATACCGACCAAGTCTGCCGATGTACAGGCAGCCCGCAAAGTGCATGGGGTGCACTGCAATGCAATATCTCGGCGATGACTTTAGGAATGCACGCCACGATTCTAGGGAACGTATAATACATATTTCGAGTCTGGATGTTTGACTGTTGCAGAAGTACGGGAAAATCGTCGACGTTTACCCAAATAGAGCACCAAATATTGATATTAAACGCATCAAAAGCAAGACAGCCACGCGAAATACGAATACCAAGAGAATATCTCGAGAGGAAATAAAACGTATTAATTAAATTAGTACCGGGAATATTAACGATACTGGGAAGAGACCGAGGCAACTGTCCTCTGTTGATCTATTACTCTACTTTATTTCTAATTCCGTAATATTTCTCTGAAGCCGTCAATCTCCGAAGGAGTTTAAGACGTTCCCCTCCCCAGACAGCAAAGTTGTTCATTAATTACTCGAGCCGGTTAATTACAGAATTCCTTTCCGGTGTACATCGTCGTGGAGCATCTCAGGCGCGCAGTAACCGGCGAACGAGTCTGCCGAGATTTCTCCCGGACTAAATTTTTCCCGTGCGCTGACACCATTAAACACCTTGAAAATAAATCAACCTGACCCGTAAATTTCCGCAGTTTATCGCGTTCTTTTTATGCAACGACTATTAAAACAAGACTTTGAACTTTTTTTCTCGCTTCTGCTTCCTTTTTTCCTCAACGTCGCGAAGCACGCGCAGTCGTCGTGAAAAATATCAATCGAGGCATTTTGAAATTTTTTCGACACCCTCTACTCGACCAAATATGTAAACGAAGAGCGAAAGTGTCTCTTGGATGATAGTCGTTTTCACGTGTCGAGCTCGTTCTCGCAACGAACGCCGTGAGACGGTCGCTCGGCCGGGAACAGGATAGAAACGGACGAGAGAACGTTGAACACGCGACGACCACTTTGAAAATCATCGTATAGCGAGAGAGTGGTTAGGAGGGGTCAAGGGGTGCTTCGCTGTCGCTTGCTCCAGTTAAGTCGAACTGCTGACTGTACCACCGGGTGACGATCCGACAGATGCTTCTCTACCATCAAAAGCTCTCGTTTTTCTACCACTCACGAGTCTCGTCGCTTCTTTGGATTCTCCGTCTACGTCGAGAAATCTGTCTTCGAAACGATCCTCGTTGGAGACGAGCGGAGATACATCCATTTGAGAAACGTAAACGTTCCGCTACACTTTGGGGTGGCGAATGATAATAGAGAGAAAGTGCAGGTCAAGAAGTACTCCTCTCAAGAGCTGGAATGCAGCTCGCCGCACACCAAAACCACCCTTTCGATCCTGTTTCCTTGTCCGGCCACTGACACCAACTTACTTCCAAGCAAATGTTCGATAATTCCTTGGCCAGCCTCTGTTTGTGCCACGCCTTGCACGGCTGAACAGAAATTAGTGGCAGGTATATAGAATCTTGTAGTTGTTGCTAATCGCTAAACGTTTCTCGGCGTTGTAGTTTCCAACTACGCTGCGATTTTGCTCGCGAATAAATTGAACTTTGAACGTTTAACGTGCAACGGTAGTTCCCAACGGTAGTGCATTGTAAAGAATCGATCTCGGCTACTTTTCAACCTTTTTTAACAACGAACAAATTAATTTCCTACGGGCATCCGGCGCCGTTGGAACGAGCACAGAAATCATAATTGATTCGACTAATTTATGAAAAACGTCGGAGGAAGCGAATGAATTCATAAAGCGCAAGAGAGCGTGGAAAACGGAAGGAGACAGAGAAAGCCAGGAGAGAAGATAAGAAGAATAAGAGAGGGAAGCAGGATAGAGCTCGTTATTATCCTCTGGAGACAGCCTGCGGAATTCCTGAGGAACAGTTTCACGTACTGTACGGCCACAATGCGAGCGACACTCAGAGCGTAAAGCCATTATTATTATTGGCGTTACTATTGTTCCATTTTGTTCTATTATGCCGCCATTTGTGCTTCAAAAGTACCGTGAAACGGTTGCGAGCAGTAGAACAACAAATGAATTCTGACATCTATCTCCGTGGGCGGTTCTTGCTATTGGAAAAATGTCGTTTGTTTAAAAGCCCGCTGCAATTATTTGCCGGTCGATCGCGTTTGAAAATCGGTCCGAAAACGACTCGACCTCGAGTTGCTCTCTCTATTCGGGTCAGCCATTCGGTTGGCAAATGAATGGTTGAAATATTCAAAGGTAATCGCCAGGCGTGCGCCAGCCGTGCGCTATTAACATGCGAAAATTTATCGCAATCCCTATCGAGGCTCAATCCGTTAGTGGATATAACTGATCGGTCTTACGAAAATGTATAGCTCGGTCGTTTGTATTCGATATCACCGACCTAAGCACCCTGCCAGGCAAAACTTCCCATTTGACGAAGACAAATGTGTATTTGTGTGCCGGACAAAATTTCATTTCCAAGAGTCCCGAGGATATTGGCACGGACTGCTGTAACTACTTCGTAACTTTCCTCCAGTTCAAGTTATAAATAAAGTGATCGCATCGTTGGAGAAATCGATCAATCAACGGGAATGCGACTTATCGTTCGTTAAAAAATTATATTTCTCGGATAATAAAAGAAGAGACTACGCTGTTCGGATGCGCCGCAAAGGAAATTACGTCGGAGACGGTTAATGAAAAAAGTAGGAACAAACTGTAACCTTTGTTACGCGATCAGAGCAGCTGAACTCTGTAATTCTGTATTTTATGTCACGGTAAGTTGTTCGTCTGTGTTACAGGTTTTTCCTTCAAAATGAAAATCGACTTAAACATAAGAGACGGTAATACGTCAAAGGAGTAAGATGGAATAAAGAGCACGAACATTTGCCTCTACGTTTACACCGCTGACTCAGCGTGTCTGCTCCGTTTCAAATTCGTTGTTGCACAGAGAAATTATTCGCTTATCGAGTTACGTGCCTTCGGTATGACTGCTTGTGTCCCACTTTCGTTGCAAACGGCATTCGATTCGTGAACGCACGGTTCCTGTCGGCTACGCGAATTCGATTATCCTTCGTTCGATCACTCGATAATTGCGAGAGATCGCAGATCGGTGTACGGAGGGAGACGCGGACGTTCGAAAATCAAGCAGACAGTCGATTTATGAAACGAATGACGGAGAACTCGACGCGACATCAAGCATTCATCGGTGCATCGTTTAATCGAACGATTGTGGAGCGTGACTGGCTTTGGTCCGGTTAAATTCGACGGAAAATAGCGTCGACGCGAAATTAATCACGGCTACGATACCTCGTTAACTTTTCTGTGTTCAAAGTGCCGACACAAGCTTGTAATTATCTCTTTGCCGCGCAAGGAAATAATACTAGATATCGTTGTTGCGAAAATTTATCTGTTTAACACCCTACCAACAATACGTAGAGAATTATTCGAGAAGAACAGAGAAACAACCGAACCATTTTTTCCACGTACGATACGCGTTAATCGCTCTGTTCCTGCGAGATTATTCAGATTTCGTCCGGATTAAGTTCTTTCTTTTCTTTTTAGCTGGCATTCCTGGATGAAATCCATGAACGTGCCAAATCCGGAAGACCGGATCTCGTATATCGAAGAACCAGCATGGGAGTACAATGTTCGGGAGAAATACGAAGGTCCGGAAAAGGTTCGCCATAAATCAAACGCATCGATATTGGCGTTGGTTTAATAAATGACCGTAAAGCGTAGAAAAAGGGGAGCACAGTTCGTTCCCCTGTATTTCCAGCGTATCTGAGACACGCTATATATGATTTACATGAGAAATCAACGCTATCACGGATGCTACTGGTTGATCAGAATGTTTGCAAAATATCCGATATTGCGACAAAATACATTTTATCCCATCGCTTTCAACACTACTGCTCGATAAGCTCGCCTTTCTCTCTCTCTCTCTCTCTCTCTCTCTCTCTCTCTCTCTCTCTCTCTCTCTCTCTCTCTCTCTCTCTCTCTCTCTCTCTCTCTCTCTCTCTCTCTCTCTCTCTCTCTCTCTCTCTCTCTCTCTCTCTCTCTCTCTCTCTCTCTCTCTCTCTCTCTCTCTCTCTCTCTCTCTCTCTCTCTCTCTCTCTCTCTCTCTCTCTCTCTCTCTCTCTCTCTCTCTCTCTCTCTCTCTCTCTCTCTCTCTCTCTCTCTCTCTCTCTCTCTCTCTCTCTCTCTCTCTCTCTCTCTCTCTCTCTCTCTCTCTCTCTCTCTCTCTCTCTCTCTCTCTCTCTCTCTCTCTCTCTCTCTCTCTCTCTCTCTCTCTCTCTCTCTCTCTCTCTCTCTCTCTCTCTCTCTCTCTCTCTCTCTCTCTCTCTCTCTCTCTCTCTCTCTCTCTCTCTCTCGAAAGAAAACAGAAAATTTTAGTACGAATAAAGAAATCAACGTTATAAGTAATAATCATCGATCAATGATTATGCATGAACGCAACGACAGCTTGGCGAAGGGTATGAAAAGTTATCTGAAACGGAAAAAGCAGCAACTGAATAGCAAAGTAGTTCACAGACCGTGATAAAACTCGTTTGAAACTCGTAAAATGATTTCCAGTCTAAGTTTGATACAATTTGCATATGCAGTATATTTCAGTAACGTCCTCTCACCTTTATTTCCAATACAATACCAGCTTCGTATATGTCTCGACTTCGGCTTTCAACTGCAACTGCACCGCCAGTTTCTACGGCGACCGATTTTCCGACGATTAAGTACATTACTCGTAATGACGGTCCAAGGGGTTCAAAGGATGCTCCGCCGTCCTAACCAGTGGCTAGAAGTGGGGAATGCGCTATTCTCTCGAGGGTACAATCGACAAAACGGTTCTCGCGGAATTCACTACTCCATCTCGTAGAACTAGCCAACAATTAACGGTATATACGGGCGTTCCGACGTTTAAAAATCAATGCCGGATTCACCGTGTCCTTCGAGCTGGAGCAAACGCGCGACATACGCGATATACGCGATCTAAGATCAAACGTCGATACGCCACCGTTTCGCGTGAAAGGTTAGAAGAAAAACGTACAGATGGTGCGAGCTATAGACACACTGCGACGCAAAAAGCTACGTTTGCTTACCAAGTTACACGCGTCGGGACCTCCGCATCGCGCACCATTATTCTGCCAGTCGTCGCTGGATCACCTATCGCAGGGTAACATACTTCGCAGATGCGGTAAACGCGAATATTACAAACGCAAAGAAAATTTTCACTCGTCTCGTTATCTACCGCGACTCTCGACACCGTTCTCCTTTTCAATTCGACTGGATCCACTCGACAGAGATTCTAAATTCTCGATGGAACGTCCTACAATGTATTCGGCTACGGATATCGAAGAGGCGAGTGTATCCAAGACGAGGTAAACGCGGATAAAAACGACACACCTCTGTGCCAGCGACGACAGAGTTGATGCGGACCGCGGAAGGGAGGCTGCGAAACTGAGATGAAACCACGGCGCAACCCCGGTGCGCGCGCGCACCAAAACCACCCCCGGAATACACGGAAGCAGCCCGGCCGAACGAACACTACCCCTCGTCCGTCCCCACTTAGTTCTCTCCAGGACTACCACGACGAGGACGACGACGATGCTCCCGCTTCCATTTTTCCTCTGTCCCGCTCCTTTGTCCTCCTGCGTCTTCTCTCTCGGTCTTCTTCCTGCCGTTTGATCGCGAAACATCTCCTATACGAATCCAAGTCTTCACAATTTTATGAACAATATTTTTTTGTTATCTTTAACCGATGCATCCTTCTCTGTAACTTTGTCGACTTTACGATACATCTTTTCTTCTCGCTATCTCATTGCCGCGCAATCTTGATCGATCGATTCGCCCATTAGCAAGTGGTCTGTAGATCGAAACAATTTGAAGTTAATTGCGAGGACACCACGGAGTATAGTATCAAACTATGGTCCAAAGTTGTTTAGAGGCTACTTCGAAACTGTAGATTTATATATATAAATCACCACGAATAACCGTACGAAAAGGAAAGTAACGAAGAGTATCTCGATTGACGTTAAACGTTCACGTAACGAGAAAACCGACGTGACTCGTATGCCGAATGTTCGAAATTTGATACTTTGGATTCGTACACAATAGCTGGTCGTGAAAAAAGAGAAAAGAATAATACAACGAACTGGAGGCTTTTCGGGCCAGTGAAATTCACGCGATTAGAGCCCACGTGGTTAAAGCTCAATGACTCGTCGATGATGCTACAACAATGTTGCTCATTCCAACGACTTTAATTGGCAATTGCGAGGCTGTTAGCAAAACTGCGCTTTTTTGCATCCAGTTAATCGAATCGCTCTCTGGTAGGGAGCCTTTGCCTATTTCCAATTATCCGCGATCCTCACGTTAAATCGCTGACTGACCAATACCAAACGAACTTTTTCCTACTTCGTCTCGTAAGAATAATTAGAGACCTTCTGAGCATCCTAGATAGCGCGTATGCGATTAAACTCGCTACGAAACCCGTATAAATCGAATATGTATATATGATCGAATATATGAGAATTTAAATTAGCACGTATCCTGTGTATTGTCGATAGTGTACGTAATTACAAGAAGGAGGATGTAAATAAACAAACCGGAAACATAAACGAAAAAGCAGGAAATGAAAATAAATAAAACGAGGTTGTAAGCAAACACGCCAAATATATGAACAAACAAAGAAAAAAGGTGAATAAGTGAATTTTCTAAGCGAAACAAGGTCATCGACGCATCACGATTTTCGTATGAAAGTTTATTTTCCATTCGGTGTGTCGCATAAAGCGGCGCGCGATTAAATAATCCCAGCGTTACATCTTTTCACAATTTAGGGAGCATGGAAGTTTGGACATTAGATGGAAACCAAGAGACCGAGTACTCAGGAAAGCTTCTCCGAGAGGAAACCTTGCCGGGGCTCTATACTAGCGATCCTTAATAAAAATGTACGGTCATGGAGCGTAACCGTAGGTGGTGAAGATTGATGAAAGTATAGAAAGGAAGGACGGTGTGTTGCAAGGAAATTTTTCTTTCGTCGAATTTGCCAAAATCAGTCGACGTTAACCCGGATCGCTAACGGAATTCCAATCAGCCTGCGGTTCTCTTTAATTAACGAAGGGTCAGAACGAAAAGTGGCAAGAGCTAAACGAACGTAATCGTTCTCGGGCATAGATTAAAATTTAAGGCGATGTTCTAGTTGCGCGGAGTTTCACAGCTTTCCCTCTCTCTCTCTCTCTATCTATCTATCTATCTATCTATCTATCTATCTCTCCATCTATCTATCTCTCTATCTATCTATCTATCTCTGTAATCATTATATACTTACGAGTCAACGAGACGCATTCTCGAAACACGAAGTTACCCGTTGTCTGCGAAAATTAAGTTCCCATCGCGTTTCATCGAAGAGCTGAACAAACGGCAAAGCTCGATACTACCAAAGCTCTACTAAATATCTTCCAAGGGAAACATTTATTTGACGGTTGCAAAAGCACGAAAGTCGTGTCGCGAGCTGTTCAGCGGCGCTTCAAGAGCTTGAAAATGTCGGCCAAGTGTCAAAATCGATGAACATATATCTTAAAAGCGATGTATCCGGAACAGGAGGAGCATCAGGCGTATTCGCGACGTGCTGAAATGTAAAGGCGATCCCACCTAGACAATTTCCACCGACTCGCCTCGAGATAAAAAATTCATTTCCCTGGAAGCACCTACTACTTCGAAGGAATCATTCTCGCGACTTCGCCACGCAGTTTCTTCCAATACTTTCGTCCGTTTCCAAGGATCCTAACAGGGCGTTGCCGTAATTACACAGCCTCCTATTCAGAGTTGCCTCGAGCGTATCCCAAGATGGCAATTCGTCTCCATTCTTCGACTCGGAACGGTCCAACTTCCTTCGAGCATCTTGCGTGCTCCACGTCGGCGATTCCTCTCGGCTTATCATCTCGTCGAATTTATTTTTCTCGATATTACCATCCACGCGCAAGCTAGACCGAGCCGGTGAACTTCCTGAAATTGAAAAATCGATCGCCGTATTGTTTGCACGGCGTTACCAGGTTCCGTTTCGAGAAAAAAACCAATCTCGCGCTGCTGGTAAATTGTTGCCACGTTCGTATTAAGCAATCGAGTGCCTCGAAACGAGGCGGGAGTAAATCAAGTGGATCGCGAGTCGGGTTAAAATAATTGACTTTATAAAGGATGGTAAATGGAATGACTATTTCAACATAAATACAGTGGCTCGCGAAAAGGTTGTCTTCTTTGCCTGTAGTCTTCGTATGTACGTGTAAGATTCTATACATATATACATTTTCATATTAATTTCAAATTTCACCGATATCATGACGATACGAACGCGTCATGTTACACTGACAAGAAAATTCCAAAATATTCTATATAAGACACAGAATGCATACCTAAAACATGCCACTGTATTTCTAGAATATATCACAAATAAAATAACCTTTGATAGCGTCCCATATTGGTGCGCGATATTTTCTAAGGCTGATCGTGCCTGCGATAGAATCGATCGAAGAATTCCAGGAGGACAACGAGTTCGAGTCCCAGACGTTACACGGACGTCGTCTTCTCAACGCGTTACGTCTCACAGTGTCATGCATCTCCTGTATCTCTCTCTCCAGCTGTTTCTGATGCTCCGCGATGATTCGCCGCTCGCGAAATCCTGGCGACAGACGCGCGGCAGAATCCAGGAAATCCGATTCCGGTCTGAAACGAACAAAACGGAATTCGTTATACATCGAGTACCAACCAAAGGAAACCACGCCCATTAACGACTCGTTAAAAGCGAGGATCTTCTTAGACAGACGGAACCGTACCTCGGTCTGTAGACTTGAATCGGTGAACTGGATGTATACAAGCAGGTGGTCTTCTTCGAACGACGAGAGGATTCTCTGGCCACACGTTGCACCATTTCCAACACGGCCACTTGCTCCTCCCGTGGCAAAAGAGCGGCGACTTCTTGCAGAACCTAGAGAGAAGAAAAAGTTTCGTACTGACTTTACATCCTATCCACGATTTAGCTCTGCACGTCTGGAAGATTTCAAGGAATAGGATAGCCTCCGAGTAGATAAAACGAAAAAGTATTTCCTCGTGTTTTTAAAACATTGCTGATGACGTTAAAACAGCGTAGAAGGGTTCCTTTTATTTAACGAAAAATTCGTTCTTTGCTAAGAATCGTTGGTAACTTCAGCAGCGCTAAAATTCCCCTTTGTTCGATGGTTGAACGAGAGGAAGGTGGTGCTCGGCAGTGGCGCGTAGAACCTGGTTCGGCGGTAGCTAGGATTAAACTTAGTTTCGAAGCGCAAAACGCATTTTCCATAAGCATAAGGGGGTCCCGGTGAATCGGGTTGTCGCTCTTTAAGTAGAAAGTTACTTGGCACATGGAAGACGGAGACGAGGGGCAGGAGCCAAGAGCTCCTCGGTGTGCAAAACGCGCGAGAGCGCTCCGGGAAAGTAAATACGTGTCCATTTTTTCCCTTTTTATTCGTCTTCAGTGGCTCTGGAAAAACATACATCCGGAGTGCCAGAAACACGAGCGAATCTCTCTTTTTACTCCATCTTCGAGACTGTTTCGTGCATCAGGTTCGAACGATTCCTCGGCAAAATCGTTGAAAAATACGTATGAAGAATCGCTGACGACCCGGGCGTAATCCAATCGAAAGATCTTTGCAAACAAGCCCGCGATCCGCCAGCGAAAACTGCTTCGATTTCACGTAGACTGATTGGTACGACAAACAGAATGAAAATTTCTCGCAGTCACGATCTGGGGGAAATTCCATGACAACATCACGACGCACGGAGGGGAATCGTTCGCGAGATAAAAAGTTCGAATGTATCGTCCAAAGGAAAACTTCTTTCTGAAACAAAACTGTGCACAAGAATGTTGGAGAGATCGATTTCCATCCAAGCGCTACCACATTCCCAAAAGGCTACCACGGCAGAGGTACACGCAACCGGAAATTAGTTGAAATGGAAACACATGGTGACCTCCGAAGATCCTCTCTTCGCTGCTAGCGAAAAATACGATCGCGCACTTTCATTCTTCTCGATTGCGTAAAAGTTTAACGATATTAATTCAGGAAAAACTTCTGTGATCATTCGAGTTTCATTCGTTGAAAAAGATCGTCGAGAACTCTACGACGAAGTTATCGTTGCCTCGAAGAAACTCACGATCTATCGTAATAATAACGCAAAGTCGAAGAAATATCAAACCATATCTTGCGCCGATGTAATATTACGAAATGAAATATGTAATAGAAAAGCATATCTTCCTTTAAGAAAGTCTGTCACCCGATGGACAGAACAAACTTTGAGGAGCTTTGAAAACGTTAAATTCTCTACTTACTCTCGTGGGAGATACGAACGAGGAAAGAATCGAGTGTCGTTTATTTTGTTCGAAAGAACAGCTCTAGACGCCGATGCCTCGAACGATGGGGACGTTAATCAGGTAAGTAGGAACCGACTCGGAACCTCTATAGAAGAATTCCGCTCTAACTGTACCATTCTGTACGCGACGGGGGAATTGGACAGAGTTTTATTGATCTTACGTGGAAGTCTCGCTATGGATGCCGCTGATCTGACCACTTTTGAGGCAGAAAGCATCCTCCAAATTGTTGAAATCATTCATCCTCGAGTTCTTCCGTTATAACTTAACATTCCGATTAACAATGAAAAAAATCTATATGAAATTTTATTCTAAAAGAAAAGCGAAAATATCGTCCGGTACGATGAAAGGTAGGCAGGTTATTTGGTTCGACTCATGTTACTTCACCCAAAGAAAACAGGATCGAAACAATTTCGCAGTGAATGACGTTAGTCGTGGAAAATAGGATCCCAGGACGTCTGACGAAGAATTTCGTCGGTGCTGGTTTATCGGCCAAGATATCGACCAAGGAGGATTTTGGTCTAACGTCCACCCAACGCGTGTAAACTCGTTGACACCTATTAAGCTTGGTTTAACTCGATCCTCCGAGCCCTACGAATGCTGACACGTTTAAGATTCTCTGGAGACTCGCTAACCTTTAAGAAAATCCCTTTGATCCTGAGGCGAAATCTCATTGAGAAAGTACGCGGAAACAGGCGAGCAGAGGGAACGATTCTCCTGACGGACAATAAAAAAAAAATCGGCCTTCGTAAGTGCGGGTTCGTGTTCTCTCATTTACAACTCTATCGCTCATCTGTTTCCAGGGGAGCAAAGTGCCTTCTGTCTAATTACCCCCTGAGTTCGATCGAAAGTTCTCGTAATAGCTCGGAGAAAATTAAACTGTCGAAGACATATCAGAATGTCATTTTGATAGATTGATAGATAAACGTTCAAAGAAGTTGGAGCTAAAATTACATTGCAATCGTTAAAAAGGGATTAGAATTTCTATTCTGGATTCGTTTACCGGAACGTCTACATCTATCCTTTAACTATTCTCTCTGATTTTCTCTTTACAGTCGTCTATTCGTTCATTGAATAAAAGACGTTACTAGCGATCGACACGTCCAACAAGATATTTATATCATTTGAAAGCTAAAAGAACTGCAAAATGATCGTATATACGGTAAAATGAACATTAAATCCAGAAGATACGAGTATAGGTAAGAAGGTATATAATAAGATTCATACTACGGATATTTCCAAGATAAAGTAATTTCCTACGTTATGGGACAACGCATGCGATGATACTTTTTGACAGTCTATCGATATCGTTTGCGAGAGCATCGTTCCCATCGCTACCTTTATGAACGTCGTTGTGGCAACAACCTTCTTGTCGTTATTACGGTAACACGATCCTTTGAAGTAACATCGCAGCCCGATTTTATGATCTCTCCGTAAACCGAGGTTTCACTTCGCAGTTTCTCGTCGCCGGCTTTCCCGAAGCATTAAACCGGATTTCAAACTGCCGCTCGAAAATGCAAGAAAAACGGAAGTCGTTTTGACGCGGGCTAAAAAGCGGACCCGTTCGTAAAACGCGAACGTCTTTTTAGCCGTCCCTTTGATTACGCCCGTTTCAAATTTAATCTTAAGCGTAGACATCCTGGACGAACGCGTTTTTCCCAGCTGCTCGTTCTCTCGAAATTATTCTTCATGTTAATTAACAATTACCGTTGCGCGTAACTGTTTACGAATAAACGTTGCTTTATTAAAATTGAAAGAGTAACACGATCCAAAACAAAAGCTGATTTCTCTGCGCCACCGACGACGATTTAAATAATTTGTTATAATCTCGGTCAATACTGTAATCGTATAGTCGGATGTTTCGTGTGAAATTTAATAAAAGGGCCGATTTAATATACACGTTCCATTAACTCTTATTTGCGCCCCGATTAAAAGTCAATTTATATTCGTCAAAGATTTATGCGAACGGAAAGAGGAACGATACACAAGAGGGGCCGGTCTCTTAACAGCGACGTGTGAGCGACGTTTAATTCGCGTTGTCAAGGAAGAAGCCTCCTGGTGAGAGATAACCCTTCGTCATACATATATACATATATACGTACGCGCACATACGATCACGCGTTGCACGCGCTTAAAGCCTTACGGAACTTTTGGCTCTTTCTCGCTTCTCCCGTTACAACAACCTCTCGAATTTGATTCGATCCTCCCTTTCTTACCTTTAATCCTGTCCGTGAAAAAGCATTAACGACCGATTCAATGGCGTTCTACCGGCGCGAAATTCATAAAGATCGGCGGTTTTTCTATCTAGGGTAGCTGGTCTTAACACGGTTACCAGCGTCGCTATTAAATCGACTGAGACTCGATTATACAAGCGGAGGATAATGGGCCGCCGCGCGTCAGAGAAGAAGCGGATCGTCGGAAATGGCGGAACTCGAGCAACGAAATCTGCAGTTCCTTCAAGTTCCGCCTCGATATTATTGTCGTAGAATCTGGTGCGATTCGACGTCGTTCCAACGTGTTCACACGGCGGACACCCCTGTGAAATTACTGTCCTGGAATTGCCTTCGTGCACCGGAAATCCGTGCTCGTCTAATCTAATGAAACTGCGCGAACTGTGTGTAATTAAGCTGCCTCGCGTCTGCTGCGCGCGGAATGAAAGCTGAGCCGAAACTCCAAACCGAGCAAACACAGTAGAACGCGAAGGACCAGGAACGCAAGTTTCACCGCGGAAATTACTCCGACAAATAATCGGCCATCGAACCTATACCGCATTGCCGTATGATATACTGGTCAAAACGCTTGCAACTGCCACCAGCGTTTGATTTACATACGTTCAAATTGCTGAATTGCCCGTATGACAGTACAGAAATTCGGTACTTCGAAATATCCATCCTGCGATGTAAGACAAATTTCGATCGAAGGATTGCTTAATCTCTCGGCGATATACAAATACGAGGAACTTCTTCGACTACCTTTCTCTCGTTGCGGTAGTTTATTCGAAAGCTTAAACTGTTGCTCGATATGTTTGCGAGGACACTGCAGGTTGCAAAAATATCCGAAAATATCTAGAACGGAGAATGTTGAGTTAAGTTAAAGCGGACACGAAAGTTGAGACGATAAGAAGAAAAATCACGAAAATACGAGAGAGGTTGTAAAGTTTGAAAGTTAGACAACTCACCCTGAACTTGCCGAGGGAGACCATGGCGGAAATCAAATCGCCAGGACCACGATGTCGAGCTCGCGATCTGCTCATCGACGCGACGTATGTCAAAGGGCTGGCATCCCTCAATTCCGTGTGTCCTGCAACCCCTAACGAAAATATTGATTTTGCGCCACGTACCGCATATACGTAACTTACGTAAACGCTTCTGTGATCCGGTGACCGAACATCGAGACATGGACCAGAAATTTGCCTACGTCACCGAACGGCGACGTTGATTTAAAACGCGAAGCCCAAACCGCTCTCTCCCCAGCAACTCGCACGGTTGATCTATCGCTCGGCATTTTCAGCTCGAATTTTACGTGCCCGCTACGTATGAGATTCTCTGGCGACGTCAACGTAAATCTTTGTCTCTTCCGCGCGTTTAGCCTCGCTCAACGAATGACACTGCTCTTCAATTCTTAATGCCAAACACGTATATTCTATGCACGATCGTGGCTAGATAGGGCTACCATACCGTGGAGAAAAGATTTTGTTCGATGGCCTTTCCAAAGCTGAGTGAAAGGATTTCGGCTACTACTATCCTCTGTCCAACAATAGGGATAATTTTAAACTTCAGTTGAATCACGTTCGATGGGAACAAAAGATGTCAGCAGGAAATAATGCTCGCACGAAAATCTCACATAAATCTTTATCAAAAGAAGAGCGAATATTTTTTTGTTTATTTTCGTGGTTTCCCAAACAAAGCTTTTTACGCGAGAAACAAAAGCCCCGCGAATGACGTATTGGAAAAATTGTACAGAAATGGTCTCGTCCGGTTCTACGGTATCGACCTTTTTCTCTCACCGATGCGGCAATGGCAAATGCGAATTTATACGCAACACGGAAATAATTAATTTCACTCGTTTCTATTAGCCGTAAGAATATTAGACTAATGTTTTCCAACAACCGTAACTAGAAGTTTCACGTGAAAACGGAAACTCACTCGAATCACGGTTGCGGCTCTAATTAATTCTCGAAACTCGAACACTCGGCCGAAATTCGTTATTACTGCGTGACAGTTTCCGCGAGTAAGATAGCGAATTCTTGTACCTATAATGTATACTACTCCGTTTATTCGTTTATAAATTCGATGGAACAAACCAGTAAATATCTTATATTTCCTCTAACCTTTCTTTTCAGTCGAGGCAATCGATCCTTGCAACTTTGATAGAAAATCAAATAGCTCAGTGATTCTGTAATGTATACTTTTCTTCCTCACGATCTTACTGACACTCCTAGCTTTGCTCCACGTGGAGAACGAGCTGAGGCTCTTGTTCTCTGTGAAAGTTAAGTTGTATTTAATCGCCCTGTCTCTGGGAAGAAAAATCAGACGCAGAGAATTCCCCGAACGCTCGATCATCTTCGTCATATTTTCTGCCCAGCGCCAACCCTTTGATAGATAGTCCACGATCCCGTTAGCAGGTGATATTTCCTCGCTTATCACAGATTTACAGAATATCGATAGCGATTGCATCTCGGAAGCATAGACCTCCTGTCCCTTTTTCCAAGACGTTACACACCAACCATGTTCGTGAAGGCTGTTGAAAAGATTGTTCAGATATGGACGTAGAATAGGCTCGAGAAACTTTCGATCATAGTCCATACCTTGAACAATGAAACATACTTAAAATTAAAATAAAATTAAAATAAAATAAATAGACCGTGGATATTCGTGCAAATATTTTTATGAACACGACTAAAGAAACAAAATCTAAATAGAGATTTATTTCACCTACTACGAGTATTTTACTTTGGATATTTTATATATTTTTGCACAGCATTCTATACATTTTTGAATCTTGAATTTTTTCATAAATGCACAAACACTCACAGTTTATTCACGAATAAATATATTCCTACCGAAGTATAACCATTGTAAAAGTATTTTGGTCATTATTGGAAAAGATTCCAAATCCATATTGGCTGTTTCTCTATCTCTTGCGATAACATCGATTAGCAGTCCGACCGAATAATCGAACTGACTGCTCGTATTGCAATGTCTTCTTTTCTTTGATTCCTTATGATGATCGTTCATTCGCAGCTTGCGATTCGCCATCGGATAACTCTGGTTCTTGGCCTGTGTTAGAATTAATTTCAATAGGAACACGAGATTCTCCACTTGTTCCGTCATACAGTAGGATAATTCCGAGAAATTCGAGTAACTATAGTTGTCCGGGTAGTTCTATCAACACAGAAAACGAGTCTTTGTCATACTATCGGGAGCTGCAACAAGCAGCAAGCTATCCTGTCGTGGAAATTCTACCTGTAACAAAGCGTTCTTTGCTCGTAGAACTTGCTCTAGGATCATGCTAAAATATTCCAACTGTTTCTGGCTATATCCGTAATCCTCGTTGGACGTTTCTCTGGGCAACGCGGCAATGATATCTCGCCATCTCACAATGAGCTCATTCTCCATAACGTCTAGAGGTCTTGGTACATCACGTGTCATAGAGAAGGAACGATAATGAAGAGTTTCCAAGTAAGATTCTAACAATCGATGATCAGAGACGTAAGAGTCTTCGTGATACGCCATTCCTCCTTCAAAATACAAAGACATGAATTCTATGGGCTATGGACTATGAATTATATTGAATTCAAGTCGCGCGCGTCCGTGCTAGTAAATTTTCAAGCGTCTTAATTAAATTACGCTACGATTAAATGATACACATCGTTGGACGTAACAGGCGTGACGCGAATAAACGGGCAGCCGGTGAGTAAAGCGCGATGAAAAACGGCGGTTCGATCGAAGAGTATCATCGAACAGCTTATGAATGCATACAAATTGTCGATACATTCAACATTCTCAATAATGGTACACGTCGTTATCATCGCTAATTAAGAATTTCCATGGAAACCAGACGAGCCGCGCGTGTCGCCGAGATATTGATTGTTATACGGAAAATAGCAGCAAAAAGAAATCGGAGATTGGATAGAGCGAGCTCGACGAAAACAACACCGGTTCCATTCTTCTAACACACTTTTTTTTTTTTGCTCAAACTGAATTACCTCTCGCACATTGTAGCATCACGTTGCAGCGCGGATGAAAGTAACACCTCAGGCTCTGGCATTTCAGAGCAGCGACTAACTCGTCCAACGCTAATAGAACATGACACGAAAGGGTATCGGGCGCCCAGCTCGTCAACGGATCCGGTCCTGTTCTTTCTAGAGCCCATCGGTGCACAGTTCTCAGAATGTGTCTGGAAACTACTCGTAAGCGATCTGGAGGCGAGGGGCCGTTTTTCCGTCCTGCCTGAAAAAATTTCACTCGTATTTAAATTGAGAATTTTTATGCATTTATGGAGAATTTAAAAATATAGAAATGTGCGCAATTTACGCATGATATGCAAAAGAGTATGTTAGATATGCGTAGCATATAAGCATCGGATGCCTTTTAGCGTTTTTGACAACCGATATATTCTATTATGATCTATATACATATACATATTACTATTAAAAATATTCACAGTCTACCCATATTTATGTACGAATAGTCATTGTTAAAATAAGAATGGCGATCAATAAAGCGCAACGAAACTAGTCCGCAAGTAGAGGAAGGAAAAGAAGGAAACTTTAAAAATCGATTCAACTTTTCTCATTACGTATTCATCGACACGCCGCCGATTACTGCAGTTTCGAGAGGGCAGATAAATTATTTTTAAATCCATAAATTGTTAACAATAACATTTTTATTAAATAGCTAAGAACGCAATGACGTGGTGTAAGAGAATAGGTGGATCTCAGGCTTCAACGCCGGAGTAGAATCTCTATCGTGAAAAGAAGAAGGTAAGGAAAAAAGAAACTGGTTCGTGTCAGAGGAGGGATGGCTCGTATTTCAGAAATAGGCCAAAGAATTGAAGATCGCGTGAATGCAAGCTCGTCTGTGTGCGGATACGATGCACCAGCTAGATGCACGTTGAATTATAGCAGAGACGTCGTGTGAAATCAGTCGTTGTTCCCCTGCGACAAGTGCAAAGGTATGATATGCACCTAATATTCCCATAGATGAAAACGTCAAAAGGAACAGACCAAGCTCGCCTTGGAATATCTCTAAGACGATTGTCGCCAGCGACGTCCAAAAAAGACAAATGATATATCCAACTGAGTTATTCAAATGTAAAATCCATCGAGACAAAGTGTATCTGTCGAAAATGCAACTGGGAATCGGATTTAAAATATTGTATGCAACATCTTGTAAAACAGAACAAAATAGGGATATTTGAGTCGTCTCGTCTTCAACGTTTTAAAATTCTATATCTTGAACTTTGCATAGAATAATCAAACTTGTATATTATAAGAAATCATTAGTCTTTGAGGGAATACTATGTATTTTTATATCTAATACGAAAAAAAATATAAAAAATGGAAGAATAATCCTGTCGTAGAACCAACGAAGCGGTAACTTGCAAAGTATTGATTGATTGAAGGATGATTACCTTTGGTTTCATCGGTAAATGCAAAGTACGGCCTTCGCGCAGCTCATATAAAATTTCCAAAAGCACGGATTCAGTGAGGGCTGGTACACTGTCGGCGGCATAGTGTTGACTCATAATTTTCTCTGCTGCCGGAACACGTACTCTCCAGAGAGTTGCTCGGTTCTCGCAACGTGCACCGGAATACGGACCAACGACTACCGCGTACATCCCCTGGAACAGCAGCGACAAACAGATGACGCGAAACAAACGAATCTGTCCATTTGGGCAAGAATATGGAAATTGCCTAGCCAAAATCAAATCTTTCACTCTCTCTCTCTCTCTCTCTCTCTCTCACACACATTTACATACATACATATACTGTCGAAAGTTCCGAAGCGAGACATTACAGGCACGTATACTTGGGAAAAACTCATTTGCCTTTGCTTCTCCATTAACGCATCAATCGTATAAAGTGGCACCAGCAAACGAGTTAATTCGTTTAAATGGTTACCGACTCTGTTACGTTCGCGGAATCAAAAGGGACTCGCGTGGTGAAACGATATACCAGTCTCTCGTTCATTAATTTAATTTACCAGTGAATCGGTTGAATCGCTAATAACTTCAACCAACCAAGGATTTACCTTGCGGACCTCATGCAAATCGATGTTTCAAGCAATCCTCGTTTATACGAAACAAGCGTTACATCGTCGCGTCGGTTGTGCAGCACTACGTTGCACGAGCTATGCACTCGACACGCGTCACGGTACACGGTAAACCGATAGATCGTTAGAGCGTAGCCAGGAATAATAAAAGATCGCGTCGGCACCGTTTGTTGCGGAATGCAATACTTAACTCGAGATAGTAGCTCCGATGAAAAGTGTGAAACAGAATTTGACGAGAGCACTCGAGACTTTTTGCGAGAAGGCATCCAATGCTGCATATTGGAAACAAGTGCACTTAAAGCACCTCGTTCAAGAAAACCTGCGTTTCTATTAGCTTATTTTCCACCGATGAAAAACGCATAGTTTTTGGTTTTTAAAACCTCGTCGATGATTCCCGCGCTATTTAATAATCGTTTATCTACGAACGATATAATGAGGATAATCAATGCTCTAATTACATGACGCGTGCGTAGAACGCGAGTTAATAAACTTCACTTTTCGATATTTTTGTATTGATAAAATGAAGCGGAACTCAAAACTTGATGAACAGGTTACGATCGATCAATACGGTGTAAAAATAGAATCAAAAAGCACGCAAATTGATATCGTAGCACTTAATTTTTTATATACACGTACACTTTGCGCTGCAGTGTAATGAAGAAGAGCATCGCAATGATAGAGAGGTATCCGTTGAGGATAGTCCGCTAAAGTGGGCCACGACGACACTCCGATACCGATTAGTAGCCTGACTTCAACTTCGCGAGCTTTAAATTTATCCAATCCGATTCTAAGCAGTATCCCTCCGGAATCTTCGATCAAGGCCACTCGATGATTCCTTGGCTCTGGTAATGGTCCGTCCGAGACAGCTAGAAACAATTACACGATCCTGTTATCTAGGGAACACTGTTAAAAATCACATCGTTAGCTACGGTTATTGTTTCACACGAGACTCGGCACAACTTGATTTATAAGATGCTCCTTAATACGGTTATACGGAAACTGGGCATACTTGCTGGGTGCTCGTTATTCTAAATCCCTTACAGTCGTTATTAAGCAACTTTGCTCGAGCGCCTTGTCCTGATTTATTGAACGCTCGGTATATCGAATTACCAAGTTACTTCGTACATCAGTTATTTAGTACAAGCAGAGGCTAACAGGGACAGAGAATTAAGAATGAAAAGAACGATTAAAAGAAAGCGAAAACGAGAACGAATCGTTGAGAATGGGTTTGGGGACACGCGTAATGCCAAGATAATATTACATTAATAAGGAGCACGAAATGGAGAATTGGATGAATAATAACGAAGCGATGAATACTTTATTCTTGTTTATGGTCCCTCGACGAGTGACTCTTGTCGACTGCGTTGCATAGAAAGAATTTATCGCGCATTTCTATTCTCCTTAAATTAACAAAAGCGTTTAAATATAATTTAAAACATTACCTGATCCGTAAAATATTCGACAGTGGTCCGGTTGCTTCAATATCTTGTCGAGGATTTCAGCATCGACCACTTGACCAGGTGAAACACAAATTCTGTCATTCGTTTGATCTCCAACGTCTGAAACAGCGACTCCACATTTGTCCCTGTTTAATTTGTTTAATTACTCTGTGAACCATTCCGCAAACTAAAGAATTCGGTAGATACGAAATACCTCGTTTAATAGCTGTGGCCAATAAATTTGCTAATTTGGCTTTTACAAGATCTCTCCTCAACCTTCCTGCGACATCCACGTACTCCCGCCAGACTTCCGCCCCAACGCCAAGCATCTTCAGCCGAATAAAGCCTGGTAGAGAGGCATCCTCCTCGACACACACCGTCGAGCGTCCCTGCTCGGGACTTACACTCGAAATCGACAATGCATCTATCCGCAGCAGATATTCAAACCTACCTTGCTAAAAAGGAAGCAAAAATATAATTCGAAAGTATTGGTACTTCTTCTTCCTATGGGGTTTACCAGCTTCTCAACTTCACGTTATGATTACAATTCCAGAAATTCCGATTTCCTCGTCCTTTTACCTTTATTCGTCGAGGTTCGTTTAATGAAACGAGAAACATAGATGAGAATCTTCGATCGAGATTACCAGCGCTTCGCATCAATCGTTGGACCAATCTTTCCACGATAGCTTCGATCGCAAAAGCGTTAGAGGAATCTGTAACAAATCCATTCGATTCGACACTCGATTGGTAAAACTCTGGCAGCTCACAATTTCCTCTTGAATTCAATATTTTTATTGTTCTCAACGCCTCCACAGACAGAATCTCTCCATTGTTCGCCGAATCAAAGAGTAAGATTTATTGAGAAACTGGTTAAGCATTCACCATTCTGAGCCTCGTCGACCAGTTTGCGAAAATACGTGTTCAGGTTGCACAGCTGACCCTTGGTGAAAGTAAGCTTCGTAGTCATTAATCGAATGCTGCCCTTCTTGCACGATGATCCACTAGGTGTACAGCCCATCCTCTTCCGAAAAGAAGACAACTTATAATAAACAGACATTTATCATAAATTTGATATATCGATCTACAAAACTATAGAACAATCAATATTTTTCAACTCGAAGGAGGAAAGGAGGAGAACTTGAAATATTTTTTTCGAAGTAAAATGTATCGTTATAATTCGTTTTCTGAATCAATCAGCGTCACAATGAAAAGCAGGGAGTTAATCAAGAAACGATGCAATAAATTATTACAAAAGATCAATATTTTGAGAAAAGGATTTCAAAAAAATTGACAAACTTATCGCATTCATTTCCTCCATTATCTCCTGCGCCTAAAACTATACCGAAATAATTTATGTAGAATATTCCACAAAGATGCACACTCTACTTTCTCGACAGATTATATGCACATGCGTATTTCTGTCAACTTGTTACATAATTTTACGTTTATTCATCGTGATAGCAACCCTTTTCTGCCCGTTGAATCTTGCTCGGCTCCCTTCTAATCGTCTCGGATGACTCGTCTTAAGTAACATCAATTTAAACGTAAATATATTCTAAGGATTTCGCAATAATGTAAGGAATATTTCATCACACGCGAAGACAAAAAGATTCGCTTCATTTTACTTTCAGTACGTACCTTCGAAAGGACGATGAAGTCACAGGCATAGATTCACGGCAAACACTGAACGAACACTATATCACGGAGCAAAGCCACCGAGTGACGTTTCCATTCCATCCGGAAAGATATTGACACTCTGCGATCGTGACCATGTAAATGCACCGAATGCCAATTATTATTCAGCAGATCGGCTAACAATACCATCACAGTGTTCGGCCACCGGAATTACTTCCGATCCTGATTGTGTGTGCTTGACTTCCGCTCCGATGAACGTGTATCCGTTGCTTCCTATACATTATGTTACCATTACAATGTTTCCTAACTACGCGTACAGAATCTTTGAGTTCACTCTATGAGCAATAAAAAATAGATCTAAAATTGTTAAATCACAGATTTATAAATCATTATATATTGAAGTCTACACCTACATAAATCATAAATCATTTTTTCTCAAATATCTTTACGTTTTCGTTATATTACTATTATAGATATATATAAACTATACAACTAATTTCAAGAACTTAATCGGAATCGTAAAAAAATATAAATAGATAGTCATCTTACGTAGCTGATAGACCTTATCTGTTCTGTCACATGCTACAATACTATACATACATGTATAATTTAAATTAAAGCCTAATAAAAAAGAATAGCATTTCTAATAATATATTTTTATTATAATAATTACTACGAATATATTTTTATAGCAATTAAATCATTTGTCGATGTGGCTGGCTTAAAAATTTTGCTCGCTACTATATGGTTCTTTAGATTCAATTGTGAATACATAAGCGTAATGACGACTCTGATCTCATTTATAAAGTTTCGGTATGCAGTTTATTGTATAATCTGTATAATCTGTATAAATTGTATAATCTGAAAATCATAAATACAGATTGTAATTTCAAAACTGCAGAATATTAATTCTTGTGTTTCAAATAAATTCTCCAATCGTAGTCAATGATTATGCTCGATGCTGAATCGATAATGTTGGAAGCGATGCCAAATGGTAATGGTTTGTTAAAATAATATTCCAGCTTAATTATGTTTCTGAAGATTAAGAAAAATTTCCAGTTATCCCCAACTAGTATTTCACGTGCCTATATTCGCATAGTTGTGTAGCAATATTTATTTTAAAATAATATTGGAATAACTATATAGTAGCGACATCTTACAATCATATGGAACTATACATGTATTGTTAATTTCAAGACACATACTATTTCTCAAGGGTTGAGGTCCTCACGATCGCAAAATGGCACGCGGATAGTAGGAATTATTAAGAAATATAATAAAAAATATTCACGGCGAACGATCGTACTGAATAACGATGGCGTCGGCTTACATTAAAGATGAACAAGGTGATAAATTTCGTTTCATTCAATCATTTGATTTATTTTAGCTGTTGCACTATTTATAACCTGCAACATGTAAACAACCATTATTTCATAAAATTTAAGTCAAGCTCTGATACTCATTTTTTTTTTAAATCATTAATAAATATTAAAAATATTTACAGTAAGATATGTGCGATGTTTTGAATGAAATTCAATGATGTTAATGTAACAAAGATATTTAAAAGATAGATTCATGTTAATTCATAAAATTCATTTTTTATTACAAATTTTTTATAGGTGGAACATTCATCCCGGCCAGCCAACGTCCTGATGGTACATGGCGTAAGCCACGTCGTGTGAAAGATGGCTATATACCACAAGAAGAAGTTCCACTGTATGTAATAATTTATAAAACAATACTAAACCATTCTATACAGATAATATTGTTATTATCACCATTTTTTTCCAGATATGAAAGCAAAGGCAAACAGATAAAGAACAAACCTATGTATCCAATAGGTGCAAGTCCAGAATTCATAGCAGAGCATAAAGCTAAACAGGAAGCATTACTAGCAGCAAAATCTAAAACTATTCCTGGTGCTCCAGTTAAAACAGAAGTCAAAAAGAAGAAGAAAAAAAGTAAAAATAAAATAACTGAACGTATAACAGAAGAACTGGCTAAAACTACACTCTCAGAACCAGATCAGAAAAAAGAATCATTATCACAAAACGGTAAACCACAAACTAACATAAAGATAGTATCCAATAACCAGACTTCAGCATCTAAACCAAATGGTTCAACTCAATCTCAAACTTCTATATCAGATCCACAGAAAAGGTTGAAAAACCTTAGAAAAAAGGTCAGAGAAATTGAAACATTGGAAGAAAAAATAAAAAATGGATTGTTAAAAAATCCAGAAAAAGAAATACTTGACAAATTGGCAAGAAAAGCTGAAATTTCGAAAGAAATAAAACGATTAGAAGCAAGTCAATAAAAAGAGGGAGTTGAAAAAAAATATATTTACATACTCATAAAATATCACTTCATAGTTGTACCTAAGCAGATGTGTGTTTTTCAAATTTTTAAAAATTTTAATATGATCTTATGTAATGTCACAGTTTCATCCTCTTTATACAGTAAGCTAATAGCAATATAAAGATGTACATTTATATACAGAAGATAAAAATTAAATATTAATGAGAATTTAGTATGCTATAATATCACTATGTGAAAGACCAATCAGATTTAATAAAAATTGTTTTTGCATATTACATGTTGTTATTTATATCATCAGAAATAAATATTATGTCTATAATAATAAAATTCATTTACATTTCTTAAATTCCTAACTAATTTGATGAAACTTGAAATACTAGGGATTTTATATGCTGGACACACTGACTAGCTTTATTTTCTCAGTAGCTGCTGAAATTCCTACAGTGCAATATTCTGTATTTGCTGTTTACTGTATACAATCGCGTCTTTTGTACTTAATTTGTTACGTGAAAAATGGATAAACTCCTATAAGCGTTTTACTGCCTTTTTTCTTTGATATATTCTCATAGATGAAAGCTTGTAATTTTTATTCAGTACAATATCATATCCAATTAAAATGATATTTAGTGAAATTGAAATGATAAAACGATTGAGACGCAGATTAAAGCGAACGGTTGACGGTTGACTATCGATGGGTAAATAACTAACAAAATCGAATTAATTAAAATTCGATGCCTCTCGGCAATAAACCTGAATGTGTCAAGTGTGGGACTCGAGAGACCCCACTTTGGCATTCAACCGAAGCCGGTAATCTTTGCAACGATTGTCTTGAAGAAGAAAGAAATTCAGAAGCGAGTTCAAACGTAAGAAACGAAGATGAGGATAAAGGAGGTCTGTTAAAACCTACCAGGAGAAGTACAAGGATTACAAGATATTGCAATTCTAAATCAGTTCCACATAAAATTATACCCAAAGGGAAAGGAAGAAGAAATTTGTTCAAAAAAACTGTATGTTTCTTGATTCTCTAATTACTACAAGTATTCCAAAACGAAACATTATATATTATTTTATTCCCTTATTTTTAGCCAGTTAAGGCACCAACAGCTACAGCAACTCCTGTTACAAGCAGTTATGTATTTTATAAAGGCACTTATTTTCAAGTAGGTGATATAGTTTCTATGCAGGATATTGACGGAGGAATTTATTATGCTCAAATTCGTGGTTTACTCACAGATCAATATTGTGAAAAAAGTGCTGCTGTCACTTGGCTCTTGCCTACCACTGCAAGGTAAATTATTAAAACTTATGATAATTCATTTATTGTTCATAAGGTACCAAAGTAGTAAAATTATGTATTTCATGTTTAGTCCACCACCTGATGAAGGATTTAGTCCTGAGACATATATTATAGGACCAGAAGAAGATCTCCCACGCAAATTGGAATGTATGGAATTTGTAATGCATGCTCCATCAGATTATTATAAATTAAAAAATACACCATATCCCCCACCACCTACAGAACACGGTACTGGATATATCTGGACTACACTCAGAAATGAAATTGCTACATGTAAAAGATGAACTTTTTAATTCAGTTGTTTAGTTATTTTTATGTTAATATTTTGGTTTCTTATGTACATTATGAATCTGGTATAGAAAAATAAAATAAAATAATTGAAGTATATTTATAACTGTTTAAATTTTTAAAAATAAAATTTATCGTGAATATATATTATTGCAATATTTATTACAACTTTGTTTGATACAATATAACATTATCATTTAATACTATCTTTGAAAATAATAGAATGGAAGTGTTCAATAATGAGTTAACATTAAATATACTACTTTAGATATAATAAAGAAAATGCAATTTCATAATATTACACTAGGTATGATAATACAATCTCTATAAAATATAGTATCAGTATTTTTAGATTTATAAATTTTTACCTTCTTTCATGTATTGAATTTAATACTTTCAACACTCCAGAGATCCTTATGTTTAGATACAGATACAATTTTTCAAATTTCATGGTACAAATCCTCTTCTTTGAGAATCTTCATTGTTTAACTCTGATACTGTTGAGGTGAAATGTATGAAGAATTTGTGGACAGTATTGGTGCATTCTCATTCACTTGAAGAGAGGGGAAAAAAACCCTTGTAGTATCACTTGCATTTGGGATTGTGGTTGAAATCAGTCAGCTTGGAGCCAACGAAGTAACGGCTGGTCAGAATTTGAGATCTTTTATAGCTTGTGGTAAATCAGGCAACTTCATATCCTTTATCTGTTGTGGTATGTTCATATTCTTGACAGCAGAAACAGCACGCGCCGGCGCTGCTGTGATTCCTGCCTGCACATACCATATGGATGGAAAAAATGGAAAATGGAGAAAATAAAGGATTTTTGAATATAAATTAATTAATAGAAGTAAATACAAATAAGTAGCTACGCAATACACATTTTATTCTTAGAGCATAGCGACGTATACATTTGCATTAAGGCACTATTTCCGAGCAAACATTTACAAACGACTTAGCACCATCATGCGTGTTATGAGTATTTATTTTGTAAAGCTACGGAAGATTTATGTTTTGAAATTCTTGGTGAAAAAAAAAAGATCACAGATAGATTACACAAAGGAATGAATGTGTACAAAATGATCTGATTTTTACTGCCGATTTACTTAGGGAGGGGGCCCCAGAAGGACAAACGGACGAGGTGAGCAAGATCGTCCTGATTTGTAAGTTCCCTAAAATTCATGTTAGCTCAATCAGTTCTACCACCATATGAAACTGCACTACAAAACATTCCGACGCATGCAGAGCTAACGAATAAACTGCAATAGGCTGTTAACTTCTACAAGCCCAGAAGACTTTTATAAGAAATTGAATGCCTTTTTCTTTATCACTTTATCTTACTACTTAAAAATTTTAAGAGAATAAAATTTTATTGGGCCCAAAAAGTTAAGGGATGTTTGCATAAATTAGTTATTACAACTGTGACTTAGTAATTTAAACTTTATCACAGTGTACTGCTATATTATATATAAAATTTGTTATCTTTAATATTTATAAAATATATAAGTAAAGCTTAAACATACAACACATATATTGATGTTTCTTAAATGCCAATTATAAAAATATTACTTACCTCCTGTTTTTCCAATTTATTTTGATCTTCAATTCTTGTAAGTATTTCAGTCATATTGGTTTCTAAAACCATTCCACCCATCACTAATTCATTGAGAATATAATGAACTTTGTCTACATGAAAGATAAGGTCGAGTTCACATACATTTTCAAAACATTTATCCAATGTTTCAACAAAAACTTGTATCAAATCTAAGATTCCCAATTCTGATTCTGAACTATCAACACAGAATACAAAATATAATGTAGCATAATGCCGATAAATTAACTTATAATCGGATCCACCAATTAAACTTCCACCTTCTAGAAAATTACAAACATTATCATCTCTCTTCGAAACTAATTGAAATGTTTCTTTTATTATCTGTTGTTGCATATCCTCATTCTGAAAAAAAAGACACAGTTTATTGAATTCTGCAGTAGAATATAATAACAAATTATAACTGTTGTTACACTTACAAAGTATTGATAAAATTTAGAAAGTCTAGGCTTCCCATGATTATTAAATACTAAAATAGCTTTAATCATGATTCACGATCAATTAAAAAAATAAGGTCTAATTTTATTATTGAAAAAAACACAGATGTTTCTTTCATTCGTATAGAGGTTAGTTTCGAACGTCAAAAATGTACTTTAAAAAAAATAATTTTTTTCCAACATTGCATTATTAAGGAAATTCATACTAATAAACATTTAATTTAAGAAAATAAATATTTAAGAAAATTTAAGCAACTAAATATTTCATTTTGCAGCTGTCACTGTATTTATGCATTATTTATAATCATTAATTTAAAAAATAACTTAGAAATTATAGTAATTTTATGCAATGAAATAACGTCACAATAAAGAGAAATTTTTCTACGTAAATATTTCTCATTCCATGTGAACACTATACTATTACCACAGACAAAGTATAGATTAGATATACCTTTCAATAACGAATCTTTTGACTCAACTCTCTGGATTCCCTTACCATTCTAGTATCATTCCCAACATTATCGATTCAACATATTTCAAATGTACTGTAATATTATTTGAATTGATAATACCCTTGAATTGAATTTCTAAAGCCCTTTCTTTATTTGACTTTACCGATTCCTAAAATAAAAAAGAATGTGTTCTCCGAGTACATTCGAAACAACCCAAGGACTGCATAGAAAGATAATCGCGATCACAGCAAACCAGCTCGTATTATTTGTTATATAATTCATAATTATACCATATATATAATGATGCAATTAGTAATTGTATATCAAATAATGATTGTCCAGGTCTCACCGCGTGGAGGTTGCTGTGAATGGAAATCCTCCCTATGCACGACCCATCCACCCTCCTTTTACGCAAAAAAATTTAACATCAAATTAAAAACATTAATTTATAAGCAAATGCTTCTTTTAATGTGCGTTTGCAAAAGTGTTTTTCTAACTCGTAACTTTAATTTACTAAAATCACATATAAAATAAGAAATTTTCAAAATAAATCGCGAAGAGTGCCTCAACACTTAAAATTAATTAATTTTCAATAATTTTAACCATCAGAAATACAGTCAAAAATAAATGTATAATAAACCAATTATTTACAATAATGAAACCAATTATAGTGAAATAGAGTAATAATAGAACCCAAATTCTGCTTCAAAGACCGATAATATGAACTATCGATGATTGTAACTTGTCAAGTACACAGTCAACGATGAAAATAAAAGAAAGTTTCTCAATTTTACTGAGATTATAATTAATAAATGATTAAACACGAACATACTATTTAAATGAAGCGGATATAAGTGTAGAAATGTTGATGAAGTCGAAATGAAAGTACTAATAACAACAGGGTAACGCTCGACGAGACGAATTTTCGCTCCACGACATTCAAGAGTACAATAACACCTCAGAGCACGATTCTCCGCGAAACTACGCATTCGAATATTTCGCACCAATAGCAAAGCTCCATTTGATGTGACAATATATTACGCCAATAGGAACAACGTTCAATTTCATTTGAGAATATTCTGCACCAATAGGCACGCTTGATTTGACTTTGACAATAAATTTCGCCAATAGGAGCGTTCGTATATATAAGCGCGCGCAAATTTAGCGTATTCAAACAGTCAAATGGATGAAATTGAGAAATAGAGAACGTATTTAAGACAATGTTCAGTAACAAGTACGAATAAGATTATATTCTTAATGAAAAGCTTTTATGTTTCATCATAATTTTATGTTTATCATCAAGCATAAAGGGTAAAAATGGAGACTGAGAAAAATCTATCATAAAACAAAGAATATTATAATTTGTTTTTAACAACATAACGTTGATTATTCAAATTGTTTAAGATAATTAAAGATTGTTGTTTATTAGACTTGAATGTTAATAATTGTTAATATGTTAAATGTTAATAGAGGTTGATATTTTGATAATTTGATTTTGATATTTTGATACATACGTATAAGTATGCAAATTTCATGTGGGGATGAAACAAAATAAGATCTTTTTGCACGTAACGACGATTCCAGCAACTTCGATAATTAGACTGATTATAATTCCTACATCCACCGCTTTAAATCATAGGGAGCATGTCAAAACCTCTGATTTTTTACGCAATCGGTATTTCAGAATATATAACATAACAATATAACCCATAAGATGCCAAGTCTCCATACCACAGCCTTAGTAAATGTCTGTACTCCGTTTGGTCTGTGTCTATATCTCGACTGTGCTGTTATAGTTGTTACCAGAGAGGAAATTTCCTCTCTACTGGTACAGTGCAAAACAGAGAAATCAAAGTAATTAACACTAGGTGGAACTGCATTCGCGCGATATCTGACAAATGACGAAATGACAAGCTATTTGGATTCAAGGTGCAGTCTAAGAATCACGAAGATTTGAGTAGAAGCTTTTTCTTTTTTTTTTTATTTTTGTCATATACTCTAACGTGAAATTTCTGCGATATGTTTTGATAAATCGTAAGTACGATCTTACGACAGAGGTAAATGGCGAGTTGTCAAATGCAGCGTAACGCAATCACCGCATTTCAAAGGTAAGGTTGTTTATAATGTATCCAACTGAAAAATTGAATTTTTGGTTTTATGTCAATATTTAGCAATATTTATTACAGTTTATAAAGATAGATCAATTTTGTATCATACAAAGTAATAAATAATATACATTTATTATATCAATATTTTACACTAAATTTATATTCGCTATTGATGCATCTATGACTGAATTAAATTGCTACATTATTTCTTAACTGATACAATTTAGGACATTAAGAAATGTAACTATTAATAATTTCATTGAAATAATTTTAAAAAACCTGACTTATGACGATCTATGTTGTAAAAGTGTTTTCAATGTTTGAGACCATAACATTTGATTTATTACTCCATTCAATTTCAAAATTGACATTTATTTTGTTTCATAATATTATTATAAATGTTACCTATTTATTTTTCAAATAATCATTATCATTGAAAAATGCATATATTGATAAAGTAGCTCTTATGCTTTTGTTAAATAAAAAATGATATACAGAGGATCATCTTGATTGTTGACAATCAAATAAGATAGAATTAAATGAGTAAAAAATTAATAAGGTAAGACTATATAAAGAAAAATCCAACATTACTTATTGGCCACCACAATATTAATATAATATATTTGTATTAATATTATTTGTTCTTAGATGGGCAAATCGCGACTATTGCCATTGAAATTGCCATCAACCACCAATATAGTTAATAATGGAATAGTTAAAGGAAAGATATCATTTGTCCGAAGATTAGCAGTAGGATTTATGATCTTAGCTACACTTGGTTTAATATATGTACCAGCATACCATTCAGCTCAAGGCCCATTTTTAGGCTTAGGTGAGACTCCATCTTCTCCAAAACACATTGGTGTTTCACATTTGGTAGCCTCAGTAGGTATGCATTCACTAACATTGCTAGAGCTTTTGTTGCGTTATAAACTAACAAGACTTGATATGTAAATCTACTTTCACTCTTCTCTTTATAATTATTTGTCAGTTACAAATTTAAATTCTATGGACTATAATAATGTAAGCTTAAAAAATACTGTAAGAATTACATAAATAAGTATAGTTTATATAGAACATATTTACATATTACCTACTATCATATTAAATACCCAATGAGTCAAGGATTTTTTTTTAGAAGGGAAGGAATTCTTTTATAATGATAAGTAGTAGGTAATTTATTCAGTTGTATATTCATGGGAATTCATGTTAGAATTAGCGAAAAGAAAAAATAAATTTGAATAGTAGAAAAAGTATCTGCAGTATACTTCAATCTTCCTTTTTCCATCCACTTAATGTAGAATGCTTGAGTGATGCTATAATAAAATAATTATTTAATTTTATTAAGCATGCATATGAAGTCAAAGCTTAAGGAAAAGAATTTCATGAATACAACTTTCCTTATAGAATTAAGATAAAATATTTCTGTAAATATAAATAATTTACAGCGCAATTGCCAGGATGGGCATATAATACTTCAAGAGATCTTTGTATATATATTCATCCAGAAAATACAACTTCAGTTTTAAGTCCTAATGATATATGTTCTTCGTCACCATATCTTTTCATAGTTATTTGTTCAGCTGTTACAAATATCCAAGCTCGAACAGCTATAAGAAGCACTTGGGCTAATAAGAATAATTTAGATAATATATATAACTCGACTGTAAAGATAGCATTTCTTTTGGGACAAAGTGATAATGATACACTTAATGTATGTATTTATGTGTAAAATTTCTTAAATGAAAATTGTTACAACAAAACCAATAACAAATTACATTACAGAGTATAATAGCTGAAGAAAGCCATCAATACAATGATATCATTCAAGAAAAATTTTATGATACTTATAATAATTTAACATTGAAATCTGTAATGATGTTGAAATGGATAACATCAAATTGTGGCCAAGCAAAATATCTCATGAAAACAGATGATGATATGTTTGTAAATATTCCTAGTTTAATGAAAACTTTACAATCAAAGTCACTAACTGATACATTGTTAGGTTCTCTCATCTGTAATGCTAAACCTATTTTAGATCCAAATAATAAATGGTAAGTAACATACATATCATAATATAAATATAAGATAAGAATATATAGAAAGAGAATCCATACAAATATGTTTAATTAGGTATACACCAAAATATATGTATTCAGGGAAAATATATCCTAATTACTTATCTGGTACGGGGTATGTAATGAGTTTAGATGTGGCATTTAAATTGTATCATGCAGCATTAAGAACACCATTACTTCACTTGGAAGATGTTTACATTACTGGTCTCTGTGCAAAACATGCAAAAGTACGACCTGTAAATCATCCTGGATTTAGTTATGTTCCACGTAAACTGGATCCTTGTATATTAAAAAATGCTATTACAACACACAAAGTAAATGTGTCCAGTATGTATGTTATATGGAACAAATTGAATGATACAAGTCTCTCTTGTAGTAATCATTCTCATATTGATAAGAAATCAGTTACATTAAGCAGAAGTGGTAGAAACATTGGATATTATACAGTAAAGAGAAGACCTATTAACAAATGTGTTTAAATTAACTAAAATTTTTAAGTATTAAACCTGTTATTTATTATTGATTTAATATTTATTAAAACAAAATTCTCAATAAGTATTATGATAATTATAAAACAGAGTCGTACTAAAATTATATTGACGAAAAGAACTTTTTTTAAAGCTACAATAAGAGAGATTTGTAATTGATGTTTGAATAAAAGTTTTACAGACTATTTTTCCATTTGAATAGCAATAGTTTTTAAGAAAAATATTGTCAATTAGACTTGCTCTTATGAGTTAACTTCATTTTTTATGTAAAAAGATCTGAATAATTCGGAGTCTCCAATGATGATATCTTATTCAATTTAATATAATTTTAACAAAAACTAGAAAAGCAAAACTAGAAAAAAACTATATAAAACATGTTACAAGTGTATTAAATTACACTCTTTGTCTAAATTGAAAGAATTTCACTTTGATATTTTCTCACAATTCTAAGAGAATTGTTATGAGAACATATGTATATATACATGCGTATATTTTGCTATTTGTACCTATTGCCAGTAAGTCTTAGTAGTTATTTCTTTAATAAAAATTTATTTAGTTTAAAATTTGTTCAATATTATAAAACATTGGTATATTTTCTTATACTCAAATATTCTAATTATTTTAGTAATCATTTGCGTAATTTTAAAATTCGCCGCTTGTTATTTATTACCTATACAACTTAGTAATTTTAGTTGGGACTATTAAAAGTAGAAAATTCATCCATCCAATTTTGACTGTATGTATTTTGTGCAAAATACCATTGTTAGTGTCGTATTATGATATTTACATATCAACGACACATATATTTAACTAGTATGAATTTGATGTAGCCTATTGTATGCTGAGGATATATAAAATTTTGTAAAAGTTCGTTATAACGTATTAATTAATACTAGTGATATTCATAATAATAATTACATTTCTTGTACTCCAACTAATCGAAACGATTACCATTTTATACGATATTTTAATGATTATGGATATAAAAAAGAATTACATTCCTTGCTAATCCTAATGCAAAATGCATTATTAGTACACCAATGTTTAAATCAATTATTAGCTCAATTAAGTAATACGAATTCATACTCATTAAGCTTGTTGAGTGAGATTCGTTCACTAGTGAAAGCAAAACTAAGATTATTAACGACTCTACGGACTATTCTAGTGGCCTTAGAGAAAAAGATCTTGTTTTATTTTATATAAATATATTGTTAGAAAAATTGAACTTTAAAGTTTTTCTAGCATATTACGAAATTTGGTGCTATATAGCAATTAATTATACGTTCGCCGGATGTACTTTTTTACAGATCATCATTTAATTTGTATGAAAATTAAGTTTTACATAATAGTAAAAATGTATTTTTGAACATAAAATCGATAAAATTTAATAACAAATTTTTATTAAAAATATTACCACGCTTGTTGTTTCTTAGATGGACTGTACACAAGTGCATACGGTATTGATACATACGAAAATTTAACGATGCATTTATCTTTACAAATTTATATATACATATATATATATATATATACATATATATATATATATACATATATATATATATATATATACATATATATATATATGTATACATATGTATACATATATATATATGTATATATATATATATATATATACGTATATATATGTATACATATATATGTATACATATGTATACATATATATATATATATATATGTACAACTGATTTCTTACGCGCGTCTATTAAATTGTCAAAAATTTGTGTCCATTAATAAATTGTATAACAAAAAGAAAAAAATATTGTTAAGGGTATGAAAAACGTATTCTTTTTCTAGTTTTCCTCCCATAAAAAATGAAGAAAAATCAACATTTGTAGCAAATTATTATTCCATAAAATTTTAATAAAAAATACCATATTTAGAAAATTATGTTTAGAAAATAAATACACAGTAGATATCTTATACGTATTACGACATAATTATTGTATGCATAAATATTTATACACAATTATTACAAATGATTTTATAAGTATATGTGTATTTAGGGACAATATTCTTTTTTAAAATTTGTTAAGAATTTAATTGCCCCTTTTTTCCTTTTTTTTTAAAATTGGATCCCTTTTAAAATCAATACTAGATAAATTCTCTAATCCTTCCTTTAATTCTATTTTGGAATATTTTTTTGGAGTAGATTCTTCGGTATTAAAATGTACAGCCTCTAAACTTTCTGTTAATTTAGCTAATTTAATCTTTTCTTTTTTATGTAACTTTGACAGTTTCTTTTTCTTTATTTTAGTATTTAAATAATCCACTTTCTTTTTAAAGTATGCATCTGATATATCTGGAAGTGTCTTGGTTGTATCAACTTGCTTTACAGCTAATTCATTACAAGAAAGTTCTGTTTGAAATTTGATCTCTAATGTTTTAATATCTTCATCTTTAATCAAAGGCAAATCATTTTTGTGTGATCTTTTAAATTTCTTTGCTTGAGAACCATGCAATTCATCTTCCCATGTATCAGTGATATTAGTGAGATTATATTGATTATCTTGATCTTTCTTCTTTTTTAATTTATTCTTCTTCTTTTTACTTTTTTTTGTTGGTGAAAATGTATCTGTATATTCATTTTCAGTATGATCATTTACTTGATCCTGAATGTTTTTTTTAGCTACAGAATGCACTACATAATTTAATGTATTATCTTCTTCTTTTTCAGCACTTTCAATATCACAAGAAATTGAACTTCTCTTTTCTTTCTTTCTTTTCCTCTTTTTACATTTTTTTTTATTTTCCTGTTTTAATTCTCCTTTTACTGTGGCATGTATATTTCTTTCATCACTATCGCTTACATTACATAAAATATTTAATTGATGACTTAAGTTATTTATAAGTCTTCTATTCTTTTTATTAGTGGTTTTACATCCTTTTGGAATCATTACACTTTCAGTAGAAGTCATTGGCAATACTATGTTTTCATCATTAATCTCTTCATATTCATTATTATGGGATATGATATTGTTTTCCAATTTTGTAGTGTTTAATAAATACTTTTCTTGTTGGGCAATTCTTTTCAATTTTCCATTTAATTGTAATCCATGCCTGGCTCCTTTATGGGCAGTTCTACCACCACATAATTTAAATAACTCTTCATCTGTTAAAGGAACATGTTTGATATTTTCTTCAATATTTTGTTTTTTATGCATATTAGAACTACTTATCAGTATTAAGTTGCCATTAAATAATTTAGTAGTTTTAAGAAAATTTCCATATTTAGATTCATTTTTATTTAACTCTTCTTTAGGAAGATCATTAGTTGTATTTTCTTTTGAAACAGATATTGAAACTTCATCAGTTCGTGATTCAACTTTGATACTACTAGCTGCTTTGTTAAAAGCATGTTCCCACCAATTATTCCAATCTGTATCTTTATATCCCACTCCTGCTGTATCAAATTTTAATTTTTGTTTTAAAGGTTCTGTAATGCCACTTTCATATTTACCTAAACCTTTACCTATATCAATAAAATATGAAAAAACATTTACAAACGTGTATTACAAAATTTACATAACAAATTTATTTAACAACGAAGTACACAAATAAACATTTAAATACATAATACATTAAAGGTATTAAATGTAATAGTTATAATATAACTATTATTATATCATAATAATGCTTGTAAAATCATACCTTCCGTCCAGCCATATTTCATAAGCTGAGACTTTGCAAAGTCATTCATGTTTAAACTTTCGTTACTATAATCTTATATAAAAAAAATGTCATTTAACAACTTACAAATACAGCACAATTTACGAATGATACATGTTTTCATTAACTAGAAGCAGAACTTACCTAGTGAATGAAAACTATATTATTTGCTGGATATTCTGCATATTGAAATTTCCATAACATCCGTATTGTGGCGCTACTGTACAACTGTGAGCTATTATGCGATTCACAGAAATTTTGTCCAATTTTAATATCTAAGGAATTTTCATAAATATTTTCTTTTTTAATATTTTTTTTTTATTATTTTAACATAAACATTGCATTATTAATTTGGATTTCTTGCTCTTATTTCAATAATATTTCTTTGTATAGTATCTTTTATATATATTATTTATATGTACTTTGTTAATAAAAAAATCTTGAAATGAATATTAAACATGAAATGATGTTATCATTATTTTTAGGGATTATATAATACTGTTAGATGAACAACTTTTATTTAACTAAAATAAAATATATTAAAAATATATTTTAGTACTGCGTATGTATCATATACTATACAAAGAGGATGCTCAAGTCTTCAGATAGATCTGCAACTTGTCCACGGTTTGACGTTCGTTAGCCAACAAACACATAAAAAATGGCTTTATAATACTCGTCTTGTCTTAACGTTACGTTTGCCATGATAATACACCATTATACAACGAAATTTATTCGACTTATAGTACCAATATTGTTCGATGGCAAGGAAATGAACAATTTCAAACAGTAGATTTGATGAAACACATTTAATATCTTGTAACAACATCATCGGAATATTTAATTATACATATTAAGAACGAAACGAGGTTTGTGAACTTTATACCTTTACCAATATTTGTGATATTTTACGAAATTTGCATTCATTTCTACTTTTATATAATATCATTGGATTCTAATGTTGCATAAAAAAATTTTGCGCAAACATTTTATCCCAACTATACTTTTATTCGATATTTAATATCGAATAAAATAAATGAAATTAATAAGCATCTTACTTTAATTGATTGAATTAATGAGATTAATGTTGTAGAATTATTTTACTATAATGTTTATAGATATATTTCGTGCATTATTACTTTTTATTTTCAAAAATAACACATTTCTTTAATCAGTTTAGGTATATATTGATATTATAAAAAGATGGCATTGCGTGAATTGGTGGAGGGTGACTGCGGTGGACCCAGTTCTTTAATTCATTTAACATCACATTTTGTACGTGATCATGGATTCAAAGAAGAAGGAATACGTCATCCTTTTGATCATGGGGAACCTTTCCAAACTTCAGATTCAGACCAGTTAGTTAAACAATTTTTAGAAGAAAATCCTTCATGTCCTCAAACATTTAGAATGGATAATTTATTGCAAGAAATGCGTGAAATTGATCAAAATATTCATCCACCTATAGCAGCACCAGGAGTTGCTCAAGAATTAACCAGTTTAGATACAGCTTGGGCAAATCAATATCTTGAATCAGGACGTCATTTTAATGTAATTCTCATTTTATCGTTGGAATTCATATATTAGCAGCATTATAGTATAAAACAAATATTTATTACAAATTTGTATTTTCTAATTAATACAGGAACACCATGCCGATGACATTTGGCATCACGAGATAGAGCAGAATTCAAACATTATAACTCATCAAAAACATGAACTTGGATTAGGACCAAAATGGGCAGAAGAATATATAGAACATAGCAAAGATACTATACACAATAACATAAATATGGAACACCCAACAGAAGCAATAGAAAACAGTGATAATCCTAACTTTGAATATTCAAAGTTTATGAAATTTATGAAACAGGAAGGAGATGTTCCCACAAAAAACAATGAAGAATCACTGCCAGATGTTCAGAATACAAGTAAAGACTGGACAGAACAATATGAAAAAGATAATCAAAAGACTGAAGACAAAATTTCTACCAATAATAGTCAAGAAAATGAAGTGACAGCTAAGATAGAAGAAGTAGCTGCTGCTAGTAATTGGATAGATGAATTTCAAATAGAAAATATTTCTTCAGGTTGGTAAACATATTAGTACCAAGTTAGTATCTGTAATTAATTCTCCTTATAGACATATTTATAAAAACAAATTTTTATTCTAGAGACAGACAATTATGAATCTACATTCTTGAAGCTTCAAAATGAATGGGAAAAGATTTCATCATCTGGGGAACTATCTTCCAAGCATCCATGGCTTTCAGAATATGATACTTTTTATGATCCATTTAAAGATTATGAATTTCATGAAGAAAATCCTATGAAAAATGTTCCTAATGCATTAGAAGAGGGTAAAAAAAGATTGAAAGATGGTGATTTACCAAGTGCTATACTTTGCTTTGAAGCAGCAGTACAACAAGATGAAAAAGATTCAGAAGCTTGGTTACTTCTTGGTAAAACTCAAGCTGAAAATGAACAAGATCCATTAGCTATTTCTGCTTTAAAACATTGTCTAAGTTTGGATCCTATAAATGGTGCTGCTCTTATGGCACTTGCAGTTTCATATACAAATGAATCTTACCAAAACCAAGCATGTGTAACACTTAAAGAATGGTTACTAAAAAATGAAAAATACAAGCATCTATCAGTACGAAAGGCTAGTAGTCCTGAGCAACAATCAAAATCCAATGTGTCAACTATTTTGTTTGAGTAAGTAATAATAAGTTTAACAAAATACACATATATAGAGTAATATCTAATATTCTTCTTACTTTTTCTAGTGACGTACATGAAGAAGTAAAAGATCTTTATATTCAAGCTGCACGAATGAATCCGTGGAATGAAATAGATGCCGATGTACAGTGTGGATTAGGAGTCCTTTTTAATTTATCTAATGAATATGATAAAGCTAGCGATTGCTTCCAAGCAGCGCTGCAAGTACGCCCTGATGTATGTAATAAATTAATCTTTTGTAATGCGTATTAGCAATTGTTAATATATTATCGAAAACGTAATATTTTCGGAAGGATTCTAGATTATGGAATAGATTAGGTGCAACTTTAGCTAATGGTCAAAAATCGGAAGAAGCTATAAATGCGTATCATCATGCTTTAAAATTATCACCTGGATTTATTAGAGCTCGTTACAATCTTGGAATTTCTTGCATTAATCTTGCTGCATATAAGTAAGTAATATTTTTACATTATGTACAGTTTTTTACATGATTTATTTTTTTTATTTTTCTACAGAGAAGCAGGTGAACATCTTGTAATAGCGTTAAACCAACAAGCTGCTGGTCGTGGAGTTCACGGTGAAAACTCTTCACCGAAAGCGATGTCAAATACCATTTGGTCAACACTGAGACTTGTCATTTCGCTTATGCACAAATATCACTTAAATGAAGCTATAGAAAACAGGTATGGTTAATAAATACTTCTTAATAAAAACTATTAAATTTCATTATATAAACAGTGGTACTCTTTATTATTTCAGAGATCTAACAAGGTTGAATAAGGAATTTGAGATTGTATAAAATATTGTTGACTTCACCTGTTAAAAAGTATAAAATCTTTTTAACTTAGTTAAAATAAGTTGCGATAAAATATCGTAAAATAAAATAATTAAAAATATTTTTCGTAGTTAAAAAGTGTACATAAAAAAAAGAACATTAAGAAGATGCTGTCATATAATTTCTTTGTTATAAGAAGGGTTAAGTTACATATATTAGATGTCAAAAAACTAATTTGTTGGATATGTTTGGTAGATATACAACTTTTTATTGTTTTATCTTATATAAATTAAAAGCTATTATACTATAATAAAATTGTTATGCATTTAATAAAAATTAGTTAAAATAATTGAATCCCTGAGATAAAATAATTCAATAGAGAAAAATCGGTAATATCATATGTAAAAAAAGAAATGGAACGAGCGATCCTGAAACAATAAAATAATTGCCATCCTTCTTTTCCTTTCTTCCTTTAAATAAATAAATAGCATTATAAAAATATGATTACATAATAAAGAAGCATTCTGATATGAGTTACAGCTATGTATTATTTCTTTATAATTTATAAATATCATAGATCACTTCTAACATAATTATATTACATTTGTAACAAAGAGAAATTAATCCTAAAGGCACATTAAAGTTACATATAATGTAACATTCAGAAAGTGATGAAAATACATTATAGGATCAACAAATATAATAAAAAGTAACTACCTTAGCAGTACGTGATTTCCTAAACACATGCCACCCCGCCCTTAGCGGTTAAAATATAAACAATTTTTAACAAATTCTTAGAAATATTCAAACAGCAGTCAAAAATACAATGATCGTTACTACAAAATTTCTTAGTTCAGTGTACAAAGCAATCTATTACGTTAAATATTATATATAACATTGTAAAATTTTAATATCTATATGCTTGGTTCTCTGTATAAACTTTTCATAATTATGATTCAACTATTTCATTAGCTAAGGGAAAGATAACATACGTCTAGATATAATACAATATATCTATATAGAACATTTCAACAATCAATAATAGGTGAATTAATTTTATCTATAGTATTTGTCTTTAGTTTCTGACAATTTGTTATATATAATACAACTTCTTATCCATAAAAAATCTTGTGCACGACCAAGATTTTAATCAAGATCGAGCATTTTAAATAATTGCATTAAAATAAATGTGTACTTTTAAAAATATTATACAAATGATGAGTATATTCAATAACGATTTGTAAATTTATAGTTATATTCAATAAGAAAAAACACCTATATAAATGAAAAAAGTGTCTGAAATGTGATCACAGAGATAGAAAGTCACTAGTTACGTTAAACGCCAAGTAATTTTAAGCAAAAAGTTATAATTTATGAAAGTCGTGCCATATGAAAAAGTATCGTTTTCAACAAATTAGATTAAGTACAATTTGTTTCGAATCTATTTTCTCTAGAATGTATAATTTTCATGCAACACAATTTTTTGTTGCATTTAGATCATATGTTTTTTTTTCTTTATAATTAAAATTGGACCTATGCTATCATCAAATGACGATAAAATTGATCAGTAGAAATTAGCGCTCACAATTTTAAAGTCGATAAAAGTTGTTGTCCAGTTTCTATTATTAAAGATTTAACATGTTCAGCGTGCATAATTTGATTACACATTTCACTGCATTTTTGAAATGTTATTACATCATCTTTTGGAAGAACACGATGTAAACTTTTTAAGGACAACGTATGTGGTAGATAATTCAAAATTGCTGAAACGATAAAAAGTATATTATAATACAATTTAATATACTTCAGCATAAATATATCGAAAAAATTTACCTTTCATAATTTGCGTGTATAAACACTGCAATTCTTGTCGAGAGTTTGATACAGCAATCTTATTTTGCGTTAACTCAATTAAATACTTCCATTCAGAATCTTTAGTATACATGTCCTAAATTTGTAACACAATTTTATGAAATTCAATCATAAAAACAAATTGAAAATACAGTAAAAGTAGTGGATTGAAATATATGGTATTTACCTTTGCATATTGCACAACAGCTTGAGGACAATTATCCATTAAAAGTGTTGTTGTTTCTTCAGTATTTTGAATGCACAACGCTTTTAAAGATAAACTGCCATCAATCTCTTGTGTTTCAAGAAATTGCTTAACTTCATATAAGCACTCATTTGGTATAAAATCACAAGATAATACAGACTGTAATTTAAACAATTCCGTTGGTATAGTTTTTTCAGAGTCAGTCTTATCGATATCAGCTAAATCTTTTAGATCGCTCACATTCAAAACTTTTTGATAATCTTTCGCATACGGTGGCATCCCGTTTAGATAATGAGGTCTAAACTTCACAAATATGAAGTTATCATAATTTTCTTGTACGTTTTCTTTATTTTCTATTTTGTACACTTTTGTTTGTGTTAACTTGCCTAAGTATGATCGTACTAATAGCTTAAAAGCTTCAACCAAAGCGAAATCCGTACGTATTTGATTTTTATTTATAACAGACGAATCTATAATCAATTTTGTACTAAAGTAGTTGTGAAGATATTTTTCGAGAAATACTTGTAATGTCATTGCCGCATTATGCCCATCTCGTCCTACTCTTGATGGTAAATATTCTAAAAACACCTGTATAATTTGATGAAGAGATAGGATTCCATCCTCTTCGATTAATTGTATTAGAATTTCAGCAAAGGTTGAATTTTTCTGACGCATTAACGTTCCAGCGAAATCTGAAAACGTAGGAATCATTGGACTTCTCTTTTTCATCGCCGTCATATCAAACAACAGGTCCCAATGTTCTAAAACTATTTTCTTGACACATAATGCTGAGACTGGTTCAAGTACTTTCTCTGCTTGTTCTTGTTTTTCAGCTTGTATGTATAAGAGTGCCAAAGCTAACTTCACTAATTCGTCCGTTTCATATAATAACAAAAGATGTATTAGTTTTTCTGTAGTATATTCTCGTAATACGGGACTACTGAAAATCAATTTCAATAAGTCTGGTTTCTTTAATTTACATATTATTTCTACAATATTAAATCCTTGGAACAAGGCATCTGCTTCCGGACCACTTTTCATCGTGAAAAGTATATCAGTCAAAAACGTAACGAGACCCGGTGCATCTTGACTCGATTTCCTAGATAATACTTCTGAAGGTTTTAAACCCGACATTTTATAATAGGGTATACAGAAATCCCAATCTGAGTCATATTCGGAACGAATATAATAGTCTCCAAGCAGCGCGCATGATTGATTATACAAGTTCTTCAATTTCAATCCATTTTTATTTGCGATATCATCAAATTCATTAATGTCTGAGCAATTATACACAGCGTCTTTAGCTAAACGTATCAAAGCATGAGCTTCTCCTAACAAATGTCGGTATGTGCTAGGACTAGAAGATTTATGACTCCTCGCTGCGTTTAAAACATCGTAATACAAATTCTCCAATTTAGGTAAAATTAAAGAATATAAAGTCCAAGAGTTTTCTGCTTTGGCTAAGAGGATTAGATAATTTTTGCTATGTAATAATTTCTGTATCCCCAGAAATGGCCTTAATCCTATTAAACAAACAGGCTCAGAAACACTAGGGCATGTAACTCTTACATTTTCTATATCATTAGACATCCTAGCAACATGATGAGATAAACGTAGAGTGTAAGATTCAAGACCAGCTTCAGTCAATGCATGCAAAGCAGTATGCTCCAAAGCTACATGATTAACAGGTGCAGTAAATGGATAAGTAGTTAAACAAGTTGCATCTGTAGGATTTGAGCTAGTAGCAGAGAAATGATAAAGATATCCTTCTTGCAGTGTGCATAAGAAGCAACTTACGCCCTGCAAATATGTATATTTATCTGATCTGAGGATTGATTTTTTTAAACAAGAAGTATTACACTCCTTCCTCATGTATAATGGCTTCAATAAAGAGCAGCTGAACAGTTCAGAACTTCCATCAAGTTTATTATTAGCTGCCATTACTTTAAGAGATAATAAATTTTTTATTGTATAATTTTCCGACCATCCTAAATCAGGAGAATTCGTTTTAATTATAATCCTTATTTCTGATGGGTTTAATACGAAAGGACTTAATGCATGCCCAGGTCCTGCTCTTTCCAAACTTATAGATGGTAAATTTATAGTCAAGGGTTGTGAATATCCATCTATAACTTCTTGATCAATTAATCTTTGTAATTCATCCCTTTCGTTATACACTAAATGATCCAAATTTATAACAGTGTCATTATTATTAGATTTTATTTTTCTGAAATCTCCTGTCTCCAGTTTACTCCATATACTTGTTTTGGAACTTCTATGCCTCCTACCTTTAAATTTTGTACTTGTTCCACTAGAATCATTGTTTTCTGATACAGTAAAGTGCAGATCTTGACTAGAACTTTTACATTTTGAATTTATTCCTTGCAATATTGTGTTATCATCTTGATTAGTCGTATTATTACTGTTTTCCACAAGAGAGGAATCAGTGGATATAGATGTTTTATCAATAGATGAAGAGTTTGTGGAAGTTAGAGAACTCAATTGATCAATATCTTCATACATTGAATTAGTCAATCGAAAAACACATAAATTTGTTTTATCCATAATTGATATAAAATCTTCAACAATTTCCATGTGTGTAGGAGAAAATGAAAAGCCCAAGGACCATGGTCGAGCCTCAAAATCTATAAACTTCATCTTTGATACTTGCTGTGTTTCAATTTTAAATTCATGTAAAATAGCACTATTTCCGGAAGCCACTAGGAGGTTGCCAGTACTTTGGCAGCAAGCAATGAGTGTAGGTTGCACATTTAATGGCAACTCTATCATTTCTAAGCTATTCAATGGTCGATTTAAACTTGGAGTAACACGCCCAGCTATTCTAGCACGCATAGGTTGACTTTGATCTTTTACCATAGCCCAGTTAACATAAATTCTAACAAAATTATTAATTGTTTTCCCTGTATGATTATTAATGCTTGCATCTCTAGATAATTTTGATTCTAACGTTACGACGTAATCTTCTTTGGTACAGTGCACCATTTGATTAATCATATCAACTGTTGGAAAAACCGTATGTAGTTTAATATCAGACATCATCAATTCCCAAACTTCGACGCAATGAGTTGACAATGCTAGGAGTAGCATTTCACGTCCAGATGCATTTGCTATACAGCTTGCAGTTGGCTCTTCAATTTGAGTGATATTTTGCCCCAGAAAATTATGTACTGTGATTACACGCACCATGTTGATTTTTGTGCTAAAAGAGCTCTTTAAACATACCTATCTTGCGTATGAAAAAAAATTACTATATCTAATTATAGTAAGTTGATCACCTTTGCAACTAAATTGAACATGAATTCAAGTTAATAATTATTTTGTTCAAATCTGATATAAAACTTATACTTTTTTACATTACTACATGATGTGATCGAACAATATTTAAAGATATAAATTAGCATAAAATTCGTTGAAGGTTATTTTACATTTTTAAACTATTACTACACAAGTTACTTGCAAAATGTGTGACAGAATAATAAGTTCGTTGTTTTTTCGAAATTTTTCAATATCAACGAGATATAATATATAGAATTAAGCGTAAGAAGATATCACCGAAATATCGCTTTCTTTCTGCTTCGATTAATAGGTATATATCTTAGACCGCCCAAAAATCCGTGTTAACGAACTCAATGACGCGTACTTTGACATTTCTAATTCATGTTTTATACATTTAATACCTTCATTATGTGACAAACATTGAATATTGAAAGTGACAAATTACGATAAAGTACGAGAAAACCAACTAACGTTGTATGGAAATGAGCACTACGATATTTTATACATGATTTTGTACAATCTAAAAACACTACGAATATCACAAAGTAGAAGAATGCAAATATAGCTCGTTCGTTTGACAGATCTTTTAGTACGCGCATGTACACTAATGGTTAGAACATAATCGTGCTACATACGCGCTCTACTAGTTCTTGCCCGCCAAATCTGATAAATATGCTGTTTCGAAATGTAGCATAATTATAAAATATAAAATGCAAAAGAACTCTGTCCAGAAATAGTTAAAAAAATATAAAAACGAGTAATCTAAATATTAATTTTTGTAACGATTTTAAAAATATATCCTATAATGAATTAGATACATTCAAGTTACAAATCACAATTCATCTTTTAATTTTTATTACATAAAAAATTATACATATACATGCATTGTTATCATATTGATCCGATTTTAAAATATCAATTTTCTTAGTCTATAATCATATGTTATATTAATATGTTATAAAATTATCATTATCATAAGGTATAAAAAGACTGTAACAAATGCTAATCAAATATATATTAAATGAACATATAATAACATTTATTTCATTCGTTATTTGCAATAAAATTGACACAATCCACAAGATACTTTGATCTAAAATCAATTTCATTGACACGCAATGACAATGCGAGAAATGGACCCTATAAAAATCTACCTTATGATTATCTTAACTATTTTGTTGAGATAACTTTCTCAATGTGATTTTTTAGAGTTTCTAGCTGTTTCATGGTTTCTGCGTCTAATGTAGGAATGTGTGACATACGTAAACCATCATTAGGTAATAAGGACATAACATTGCCATTACGCAAAGGTACATTAATGTTAGCAATGTCTTCTTGAATAACCGCAGAAACCAATAAGGGGCTACCTTGCATGCTAAGAACCATTTCTCCTTGCCTTGGACGTCTTAATACATTTAATGGTGTATTAGGTTTTATTTTTGGAGTTACAAGATCAAATTCGTTAAACCCAGGTTTTGTAGCAGCAGGAGTTCTAAATTTATCGATTTTTATAGATATGTTGTTGATATGCTCCTTCTTTGTTGTCTTCCTTATAGTTTCTAGTTTTATTTCACTAAGCTTCATTTTACTATTTCTTGAGGTACTACGTGTTCTTCTAGTAGTAGGAGGTGCGACTTTTCTAGCTCTTGATGTACGCGTTGTCGTAATACTTTCAGTAACGTATCCATCGTCCGTCCCGCTAGTAATTCTTTTACCAACTTTCTTTCTTTTCTCCGTTGGAGCCAATTTTAGTGAACGGTCGTCGACGGACGACGAAACTTCATTACAATTTTCTTTCTCTTCGTCAGCCTCACGATTGAGTATCTCGCCAAGAGTCATCTGTCGTATTTCAGTCGGAAGCCTTGATAAGGTAACATCAACAAAAGTTTCAAGACCTTTTATCGCCATTTTTGATTCTGCCTCCAGCTTCGATATTCGCAAATGTGCCTGTCGTTCAAAATCTTTAATTAATAAGTCACTTTCTTCTGCAGAGTGCCGTTCTTGTTTTGGTTTCCGAACATGTTTTGTGCGTGGCATCTTTAGCAGGCAAAAAGTAAGGGATGTAACCAAACTGCTTCCTTGCTTCTTCTATTACACGTGGTTTATTCAAGTTTAAACTAAATGTGAGCTTACATATAAATAGTATTCACAAATTCCTTGTTCGTCTGACTTACATTAAAATGTTTTCAATCTAGCTTACCGCCGTTAACAGTTTATAATTCAATAGCAATGATTATAGAAAAGTACAGAATGACAAAATGGTTACAGAATACGTACAAAGAGCAACCTGTCGCCGTTTACACGTATTACATTCTATGTGTTCAAAAATGCACTTCAATCAGTGTACTCAGTTTGATTTAAATTACATGAAGAAAAAAACCCGCGTCAAATTTCTTAGGTTGAGTATTATTTTATCTCTCACAATTATAAGCTGTTAAAGTAGTTAAATTTATTCATAAAATTACATAAGTAATTGAAATTATTACTTTTTGTTTTAAGTTATATACATAACGGATATGTGATAATAATTATTGGATAAGTGACTATCTATATAAAAAATTATGGAAACAAGAATTTTAGATGAAGAATGGAAGTTTTAGTAATGATATTAAGAATTGGCAAATAATTTCAAGTGAACGTTTTGCATATATTCTTAATATTAATATTGGCATAGTTTCTCCAAAATTTGTCAAGACCTTATCATTCAAACATTAAAATGGACACTACTATGTATTATGAAAAACCACTTTCTGATTATAGACGAAATGAACGGCAAGAGATGTTGATAGCTGCTCCATTAGACTTGTCATTCAAAAAAGCAACCACAATGAATGGTATGTTAGTAATATGATGCATTATTAAAATGATATATTTTCTGAATTGAAAGATAATATTAATAAAAATATTTATTTTGTTACAAAAGAATTGGCAAATAAACGCCCACAAGCAGTACGAACGGGTAAAATTCCGTTACGAACAGCTGCAGATCGTTTTGTAACATGTTCCTTGTGGTTAAGCAATAATTCATTGACATCAATGTTCGGATTTGAAAATCTTGCACAAAAGCTTCTCGATGATCCATCGCACCTTAGTTGGCTCGATCTTTCTTTCAATGAGATAGAACAAATTGCTGATGACATTACACATTTTCCGAATTTAAAAATTTTTTATTTGCATGGAAACAATATTTCGGATATAAATGATGTTGTAAAATTGAAAAAGTTATCAACTCTTAAATCTTTAACGCTACATGGAAATCCCATTGAAAATCTTCCATATTATAGAGGATACATTGTTCACATTCTTCCACAATTAACAACGCTAGACTTTTCAGCGGTACTATCAACTGAGAGGAAGAAGGCAGCACCAGCTGGATTTTACAAAATAATATATGGTAGTACATGAATATAAAACTTTATTTTCAAGTTTTGTATTAAATACACGCCTTCTTAAGTATCATTACTTGTAATATTCTTTTAAAACGTACCGTCTTCCTTGAGGTACATGTGACTTAACGCGCACTCTTAGAAAAAATTTATTTAAAACCTACTATTATCATCGTTAAATTAACTCAAGATACCATACAGTAGAATCGATTGTTCTATTTAAATTGCATTTTAATCATTTGCATCATGGCCCTACTTAAGAGGACTGGTCCCTATCACCGCGTGCGGTCGGTCGTAGGTGCAGTAAATGACTTCCGAATTCTTTATAGAGTTTATCGCACCTTACATTCTTTATAACAGAGGAAAGAAGTAAAAATTATTTATTTAAAACAAAAATTATTTAGATTAAAATGGAAATAAAAAAAGAGCAGTCGCAGTGCGCGTAATAATCCGCGCTTGGTGATAGAAGACAGTCGTCCGATTGCGTAATAATCCGCGCTTGGATGCAAATGGGTTAATCAACAGAGGTAAAAAAAGGCCCCGTATTATATTACAAATTGAATATAACTTGTTCACGTAATTGCAATATTCCTTTTTGTAATATACATGATGATCTCCTCATACATTCAATGTCGTCTGTGCTTACTGCGGTGTTTACTTGATTTTTCTACATCTCTTTCTCGTGATCGACTACGTGATCTATAACGACTACGTGATGATTTATGACTGCCAGATCGTCTTCGCTGAGCCTTTTTCGGTTTTCGAGATCGTCCATGACTATGGCTGCGAGATCTGCTTCTACTATGTTTCTTCCTCTTGGAATGCTTTGTTCCCTCACCTCTAGATGGTGAAGTACTTGGTGATTTTGATCGCCTAAAATAAGGAAAACACGATTTTAATTACGATAATAATTACATTTTATTACTTTATTTTCTCATTTTTTCATGACATCATACCTAGGTGACTTTGTTCTTTCTGGCACAGCATGCGTACCACTGCGGCTAATGAATCCACCCCAGGCATTATGATGTTTAGGCAGTGGTGGGCTAGGTGTGTGGCTATCTACATCTCCACTTCTTGCTTTGGTTCTTGCTTCCTCGTATTGTCGACGAAGTTCTTCTACTCGTTTTTCTAACTGTTCCGGTTTAACACGGGGTCGAAAATAAAGTCGTAATATACGACGGCAAACATCTCTAATAGCAGATTCATTAACTTTAAAAAGAGAAAACCAAGCAGGTGAAGTAGGTAAAGGTAATTGTAGCTGTCTTGCTCCCAAATATACACATGCACAAGCAACAGTTTCTGGTTGATGTCTTAAGAATACATCAGACCTTAAAGAATCATTCATATAATTCCAACATTGTTGCATTAAAGCCTGATTTTTCTCGTGTCCCAGTACTTGTAAATACATAACAATAATTTTGTGAGGGTGTTTTACATGGACGCAGAAACCTAACTCTTTTAAAACTCTCCTTTCAGATTTAATTACTTGATTCTTCAGGGCTACATAATTTTGATCAAGTATTACAGGTTGTATTGGCCTAAAAAGAAGAACAAATCTAGTATATTATTGTTATTCATATATATATAAAATTTATAGGAAGAAACTGGGGGAGATAATGAGGAGAATGGGGGTGAACGAGAAGTTAACTAGAAGGATAGAGGAGATCCCGACATTGTTTAACATCTATGTGGCGGGGCTGGAAGAGGAAATGAAGAAAGGGCAAGTAGGAGGCATAGTGGTATGAGACAAGAAGGTATGGTCACTATCATACGCGGATGACATTGTATTGATAGCGGACAGAGAAGAGGAGTTAAAGGAAATGATGAAGAGATTTAAGACATTCCTAGAGGAAATGGAACTGGAACTGAGCACAGGAGGAACGACAGGGAGGGAGCACAGCAAGGAAGCAAAAGCCAAAGAAGGATAAGCGTTAGATATAAGTAAAGGCAATATAAGAGATATAATCTGGAAGTCGTTCAAAGCCGAAAGGCACGGACTAAGATTAAATAAATAAAATAAAATATATATAAAATTTAATAACATTAAAAACAAAGAATCATACTTACTTTTGACTGGAAACTTGTTTTATGTGATTAAACACATTGATAACATCCCTGATACGTCTCGGGGCCTCTTCAATTTTACTAGCTAAACAAATACAACCCATTGCAGTTGTTTCCATATTATGTCTAACTAACGATTTACTGTAATAAAATCGTTGGAATATTACTTGCCCTGTGGCCATTGCGACCTATTCAAAAAGATAATAAAAGTAGAGACTATGTGTTCCAAGGTTATAGAGGTTATGGCGTTTACAAACATTTTGTTTATTTGTGAAAATAATTACAAACCTGGGGTAGTTTCAGTAAAATACCAGCAGTCTGTATCAATTCGCATCCTAATATCCTTAGATCGGTTTCAGTTTCTGCATCCAATCCGTCTAAATGCGACGGCGTCGAGTTTAGTTTTTCATCAGGTAAAAGACAATTTTGAAGTGTTAACACGATTTTTCCATGAGCTTTCGTATTAACAGTTACCGTATTTTTTGCCGGTATCGTAGAATTTTCTTTTGCGTTACTCATTTCAACTTATACTAATTAAACAAAGAAAAAGTATAGTAAGTTCACGCACTTGCGGTGAAAAAGGTTAGCCTTACATTTTCTCCAATACCATACTTCCAACATATAAGGTTAAACCTATGTATGTGCTTATTTCAAGAAGTGTAATTCATATAGAACTCGCTTATTTTGTGTCGCTACTGTCGACTTGTGGTAATCAACCAAAGTTTTATTCGACTTTGTCAAGCATTTATTATTAAAAAATACGTTTCGTATTATTCTCGTTATAATAAATTTACAATATATAAAATTCACTGAAATATCTATTAAATTATTTTATTTCTGCTTTGGAAAGTTTGAGATATAAAGTTGCAGAACTGCGGGTATCTTTAAATCTTTGAAAATTCATAAGTTATGAAAGTTTATAAAGTTTTTAAATATTATTTGTTTATTTTTCTGTTGCAGGACAATTACCTCGTCAGTGCTATTATTGTTCTACGAAAGCAATATTCACCGGGAATCGGTGAGTGTCTTTTTATATCTGTACGAATATTGTAAATATTCAATTCGATCATTACGCGACGCCATGTTGTAAAATGCCCGCGCAATTATGAAGTATTTGATACGCGTATCACGTTCGGTCTTCGGCGAAGGGTAATAAATAGAACTGTAACGATTTTTAATTTAAGTATATAATGATATATTCTTTTGTTATTACATGTCAGTTTCTTGTCGTTTAAAAATCAACATGCATGCAATTGTGTTTTAAAATTTGAACGATGTACATTCACACGAATTTTCGATCGATTAAAATTGAATCTTACAAAGTAATAGGATTTTGCGCACATCTTGTAAGGACGACATATCAGCGCAATAAATATATACATATAAGGAAATAATATATATAATATAATACAGTCGCATAACATAACAATTATTATACAACATATACATAATATTAATTCATAGTGAAACGTAACGTACGAAAGTAAATAATGAAAGAACAACAACATAGATATCATTCATACGTTGCAGAAATAATTGTATTTAGTTTCTTCGACTACTTTTCTTTCTTAATTTCGGTCCCTGCGTTTCTTATTACGTACACGTTTTATAATTGTTAAACGAATAGGAAAGCAAGTTCGGTATCGGTTATTCAATTTTTCGTTGTGCTGATTAGCTTTGAGTTTCACGTAATCAATCATGGAGTTTGAATAATCGAAAATTAAAATCTTGACAACAAATTTTTATACAATTGCGAGGTACTTCGATGATCGTTCTGCATTCGCATAAT